GTTTAATGAGGCAACCAAGCCTCCTCTTTCTCAACCATATCCCCCTCTGCCCTCTGATTGTGGTAATGTGTCCTCTTCTGCTCAGCTTAACTCTGATCCAACTGTTGCTGTTGAACAGAAAAAACAACCGTCCTCACAACCTAACTATCCCAAGCAAGCAATCGACTGTGGGCTTTCGTCTGATCGATTCAGATTAGGTGCGTTAGCGGCTGTGTCACCGAATTGTCCATGCTTTAACACAAGATGTGTTGTAGAAGAGGTTCTAGAAAAGATGAACACATTTGATAAACTTTGCGGCAAGTCAACTCGATCGGCATTTCACAAAAAAGCTCGATATGCTGGACTTGCGCAGAACTCAGATGGGGCTTGGAGACGCCGTCCGGTAACAAATCAGACTTCTCAAATTACTGTTGGAGGTGAGGCCGCCAGCAACCCCCATAATCAACCCAATGAGCAAGCTAGAAATGCTGGCGATCTTGGTGGACATGTCTGTCCACCGCTTGATCGTCAGCATCATCAACGTCCGGCAGTAAACCAGGCTTGTCAACCCACTGCGCGTGGTCTGAATAGCCGTGATTCTAGTGCTCGATCGTGTCCACCACCACAAAGTAGATTACCGCCCGGACCACTAAGAATAACTGACCCAGTCACTGGGGCATCCAATCAGGCTCGTCAACCTACTTCACGTAATCAGGTTTGGCGGGATCCGAGTGCTCAATCCTGTCCACCGCCACAAAATAGACTAACACCTAGGACACTAATTTGTCAGCAACAGCATGATTATTTAAGAGCCTATGAGAATACTGCTGCAGTAAACTTGGGAGGAGGTCGACCACCGCATAACATTATGTTGCAGCGATACCCACCTCCTCAATGTTACAATTTCAGAAATTTAATTGGCAGTCAAGAGCCTGTACCAGATGCATACTTTTATACTCAACCTTTTAGGTACGAACAGCATGGAATGGATTTGATGCTCCAACAATACGCTCCTCTTTTGTATTCTTCTATTCCAGCTTATACTTATTACGGTTCTATGATGCAGCCAGCCTCTGCCTTCATTCCACAGCAGGCACCGCAGTTACCCTATGCTGAATGTTATGCCGACGTTGCTCTTTTAAACTTGGAACATCGAATGCGTAGAGCACTAGAAAACACAAGGAACTTTAACAGCTCAGAATTCGCATCGGATACAAGTGGAACTGGTCACCGTCCACGATCTTTAACTCGATCATCTCGATTTTCGAATAAGCTGTCATCGGCCAGCTCACAGCCTTGCAAAAAGGCATAAAGTGCAGTTTCATTTTGCATGACAAGGCATGCAAATCAACCTCATTGAATGCGCGAAGCGCAATGTAAAGACTAAACATGTTCATTAAAGCCATACTCTTGGTTTTTTCCCTTTTAATTTCACATTAACTTTCTTTCTAATAGCCATTAACAGTTTTCTACTTATTTTATTTCAGTAGCACACACCGATCAGGAGCATGTGCAACACATCAAACGTAAATTAGGGCCAACTAATCACGTTAAATCGCTTGCTTTGAATAGATAAAGGAAAAAAGAGCAGCCAAAAACCCAGTCAATGGTAAGGTTAAGCAGTTGTTATTTTGTCCTGGGGAAAACCTTGTTAATAGTACTATCATATTCGTTTAATGGGTTGCCAGACCTCTTATTATTTCCCAAAAAACAGGTGACATGACATCACGTGCAGTCGATTGGAGGAAGTTAAAATAGCCCGAGCTCAGTAAACACTATTGATTGACGCGTGGGGGTAGAGTATGCCGTCTGGAGGTGGGGCCCGAATGTGGGCACGATCAGGTGCGGGAGAAGGCGCTGGATTTGGAGAGGGTGGACAAAATGAGACACCTGAAGAGCCAGCGGCGGCCCCGCATTCTCCACCGCCGTGGGTTGGTGGGCCTCCAAGGTTTAGCCTCATGCATTTTTACAGAAACCCCATAACCAAATATCAATTGTTTCAAGGCGCACAATTATTCTTTGATCGCACCCTATCATTTCCTGTGGATGGGGGTGATTACGGCATACCCATGGCCATTGCTGCTCCAATGGGCGTTCTACATGCAAAGCATATGGAAGAATTGCTTTTGGGACGCGAAGCGAGCTTCATTAACAAATTGCATCACCCAATCGTAAAAAATGCTTTATCACGCGAGGAAATGGACGAGATGGTGCGATTTTTGTTGATAACTCCCACTTACGATGAGTGCATGGAAAAATTGAGGCCATTGTCAACGCGTATGGTGTTTGAGATTTTGGTAAGTATAATTCAACGCGCTCAAAATCTACGAGTGCACGTCGGCTGTATTCCCACCTCCTGCATGAAGGCTGTAGACCTTCTCGATCCCTCGCCCTTTCAGCAGCACCCACCGCCCGAGTCATCACAGACAACGGAGCAGTACATGAGCACAGTAGGGCAAATTATGCTTGAAGAAAAGGACTTGTTGCAGACAATAGCCAATGTTTATAATTACCAGCTCTACAAGGACTTAAAGCGGTCCGAGAATCGACACGTTCACCTTGTCTTTCGATTCATGTTAATTAATCTAATGCGACTGCTACGAGACTTCTGCTTGGCTTCGCCCTTGCCTGACGGTTTGGTGGAGGACAGATTCCTCCTCCTCGACTACACTCGAACACGCGTGGAGTTAATGTCCACGATTGTACGTCAACTGAAAATCAAATTTGGACGATATTTACTTCTACCAGCCGACTTCTCCAAAGAAACACAGAGAGAGGAGGGCGACCCTAACCTTATGGCTTTGGCTGAACGCATTCTCTCCAATTTAATTCTACTGAACACTCCTGAGGCATGGTATATTGGCGCCGTGGTGTCCGACTTCATCCTTCACAGCATCCCGAATTGCAATTTTCAAGATTCTGATTGCTCCTGTCAGCGTCTTGAACAATTCTATCCTGGGGCTCTTTCCAGGATGTGAAGGAAAAAAATTGAATTTATGAAAATAAATTAAAGACAGAACTAATAAAGATGGAACGAAGTGAAAACCTATGATGAGTGGTTTCTTCTAGGGTGGGAGAATAAAGTAAGTGGGATTAGAGGCATTGGCAGTCGTCCAAGTGGATTGACCTTCTACGTGTTAGTTGTGAGACGAGAATCACATTTTCCCTTCACCATTTTTCGTACTGTCCCACATCCTCTCTCCTCTCCCACCCCTTCGCCCTGCAAACCCGTGGTGTGATGTGGAAACAAGAGGGGGAGGAGACGTGTGAAGCCTCCCCCCTCCACCTCCTCCTCGCTAACCCCCTTAACGTCACCTGACATGCGATCACATGGGATCAGAAGGAAGTAGGTTTAAAAGTCCCTCTCCTTGCACCCCCTATTGATTGATAGGTGTGGGCCGATCATGGAGGTGCCGTCGGATGACAGCTCTGATGCATCTACAGAACCGATGTTGGGTGGAACTTCGCCACCGGCGTGGGAGGGCGGTCCACCAGTGTTTAATTTAATGGACGCTATTAGAGTAGTCATTACTGCTGACATGATGTTTGAGTGCTCAGGAGTCCGCTTTGAAGAGGATCTGTTGACTCAAAATGACGATGGCGACTACTGCATACCGCTGCCCATTGCGGCAATGATGCTCATCCTACGTGAGAAGTTTGAGGAGGAGTTGAGTCAAAGTTACATGTACAGCTTCTTTACTAGGCTTGAATATCCAGCTATACCGAAACTTAATCCACCGGAGGTTGTTGAGCAGATGGTCGCATTTTTAATGCGAGCCACTTCACTTGAAACGTGTCGAGAAAGTTTCGCCTCTGTCTCCGCACGCATGGTGTTTGAAGTGCTGGTGGAGTTGATCCAAAGGACGGACTTCCTCAGGCTGCCCATATCCATTGACACCGCTCGAGTCATGCACAATGTGGACCTCATCAAGCATAGGTACGGCGGACCAGAGCAGCCCTTTCCCCAAACCAACTCGGAGGCTGGGTACATGGGTAATGTGATCGAAGACATCATTACGGACGATGCTTTAAAACGCCGAACTCCAAACATTCTCAACTACCTCTGGTTCAGAGACATAAATAATATGGATAGGGAAGATGTGAAAAATCTTTATCAGTTCATTATGATCAATTTTTTGGAAATACTGCGAATGTACTGCTGTGCTGCCATCGCCACAACTGAGGGCATCGAGGTTGACCAGTACATGCTCATCAATTTTGCTCAAACACATACCGCGGCCATCGAGATGGCGCTTCGAGTCCTGGGCAATAAGGTGGGCAAGTACATAATTAGCACACCGCCTGAGTTCGCACAAGAGCTCCTTCAAGAAATGGGAGCAATCCATTTGCCTGAAGCCGTCATCAAGGGCAAATTCTTCTTCAATCTACTGTTACTGAACCAACCAAAGGTGTGGTCGCCAGTGGCCACTTTACGAGACATCTTCAATCACGATCAACCCAATTGCAACTTCCAAGTGGAGCAATGCATTTGCCAAACCTTTAAAACAATCTTTCCGCATGTGGTTGAACAACTGACAAGTGGCTCGTCTCATTGAGAGCGACCCAATTCCCTCACCACCTTTTAAATTATGTTAGCGATTCGTGTAATGACTGAGCAAAGACAACCGCTGTGCTTTAATTCTATGTCGGCTTTTCTAGCTTCTTGGGTCGTCTGAATAATGGACGTATTGCCCTCCCCTTAACCCAACCTCTACCCTTTCTCTCCCCACCTCACCTCTCCCCGTCTCTGTCCGTAGATTTAAAATGCAGAAACGTAGATGGGAGAAAGGTAAACGCAAAGAAAATGCCTGAGTTAGCTTCTTCCTTCCTGCCCGAACACCAAAAAGTGCTGACTAAGGGTCACGTGAGGTCACTTGAGGGGGGTTTGAAAGCCCCCGGGATTGGGAGACATTATTGATTGACGTGGGTGCAGCTATCATGGAGAAAGTGGTATGCCCAGGCGGGGAGAATGAGGGCGACACAGGCTGCCCACCGCCGTCAAGGGGCCCGTCACTCATGCCCTGTCTGATGAGCCTCATCCAAACACCCATTCCCGAGTATGCATTTTTTGAAGGCGCAAAAATGCGTTTTATGTGCGATCTAATAACGCCATGCGATGATGGTCCGTACTGCATACCATTGTCCATTGCAGCATCGATGCAAATACTCCATGAGAAGCATGAAAAAGAACTGGCTTGTGGACGGGGGAAGAGCTTTTTGCGGAAGTTAGATTATCCAGGAATGTCGCAAAGCACTCCACCCGAAAATCTGGATAAGCTAACTCAGATTTTGTTGGAGGCTGGTTGCTACGATCAGTGCAAGTGTGTTCTACAGAATTTTTCCGCATACATGGTTTTTAAAATTGTTGTCGATTTAATTCAACGAGTTCAAAACTTGCGGCTACCAATTTCCCTTGACACTGCTCTTGCTATGCGCGATGTGGATTTCACTCAGTACGGATTTGGGTCAGCACCACTGTGTGTGGCTGAAAAAGACACAGAAAGTGAGCATCTGAGCCGGATGGCACAAGAGATGGCCACAGATGACTCCTATAAACAAAGGCTTCCAAACATCATCCATTACCTATGGTTCAAGGACTTGAATGCGGCTGACAACCAGCAGACAGCACTTCTATTTCGATACATTGTGCTCAACCTAATCCATCTACTGCGTCAATACATTAAGACTGCTGCTCGTACCAGTGAGGTGGAGGACAGTCGATACCTCTTCATTGATTATAGTCAAATGAATGCAAAGTCCGTGTTACCCATACTAAGAGTGTTGGGTAATAATTTTGGCGAATTTCTGATTCGAGAACCACCCAACTTTTACTCACAATGCTATCGGCCCGAGATGGTTTGCAATCTATCGCATACGGATATCATGGGAACTTTTTTCTTGGACCTACTACTGATGAACACCCCGGAAGCGTGGTATCCCAATGCCAGCGTGGAGTGTTTCATCATTCACGACTGTCCCGACTGCAACTTCCAAAACGAGCAGTGTGTCTGCCAATCGTTTAAAAATTACTTTCCCGACGTTGTTGAAAGCATACTAAACCCTCCACAGAATGATACGTGTTAAAAGCACTAGAAGTAGTTTACGGGAGGTAGATTCTGAAAAAGTCTTAAATTGAGATTCCTATCATTGGGAATGGCGATAAACCGTGCCACCTTGTTGTTCTATTTTATTTAGGAGTAAGGAATAATAAAAAAGTATTTTATGAAGAATAATGTGTTCTTATGTTAGAGTACTGGCATCGGTGACGAAAACGCTAACGAGGACTTTTAAAACTGAGTGCGCCGGCACTCCGATAATGCTGAAATCGGCATCCCTTTCTACTCTAACTGGGTCCATATATGTCATCGCTGTTGAGCGCCTTATACTGTTACATGGGAAGCCTAAAAATGATACTCTATTGGCATGAGACTTCCCAGAAAGCAGAAGAGTGCATTAAAATGGGCTGAATCCATATTGTTTTTTAGAGTAAGAAGAAGGTACTTGACCTTGGCTTAGTAAGAAGGTTGAAGACGCCTGCATGAGCAAGACGAATACCAGAGTAACTGCCATGCATTAGATGGTCATTTTAACTAAGTAAGAGTGCTATGAATGTGGCACTTGGTGACTATTGCAATGGTTTGTTCATGTGACTGCATGACGTTTGGCGGTCACTTTGGGATTTGTCTGGCCCTTGCACCCGTGAGCTGGTCTTCGGGTAACACTTAGGTCTGTTTGCTCTGTTCTCCTCGGAATACATGGATCCAGCCTCATTCTCTACCTGCTTCCACCCCATAGGAAGTCTCGAGATGCTGCAACTATACGCAAAATAATTGGTTAAGCTGTTTACATGAAGCAAGCAATGATGGTGGAAAAAGGTTAGCTGCAAATGTAGGCCCTGTCCATCTATCCTCAGGTCCCTGAACTTCGGACTTCATGAGAGGATTGGATGGGGGAGGTTTATTTAGCATTATGCACTAAAAAGGAAATGGGAAGAATTACTGAGGCGCTAAGTCGATGTCACTCCGATGGTGTCTTTTCACTCCCTATAAAAGGGATTTGTTTTCGAGTTATTTTGCCACCTCCTCCATATCAGGGCAACCTGAGCTCATTTGTATATACTACACCGCATCCTTCACTGCCCCTCAGTATGCTATAACTCATTAAAACGCTTGCATAGCTTTAGATTTCGTACAGCCTACATCGTTTCACCATTAAGTAACTTTTATTTTCAACTGCCCCTTTACTAGTTTACCTTTACCTTTAAATAATACCTACTATGGCTACTGAGTTTAATGCGCTATTTCATACTCCATATTCCTATGATTATGAATTAAGCCGAACGTAAACTTAAACTAGTAACCTTGAGCTAGTCGTGAGAATAGCCAAGGACGTGATTTCATCGCAGCTGTGGTCGGTACGTCTCGTGATTGAGAAGGTGATGAGTTCTGCTGGGTATCCTGGCGCGAAACCCTGCGGGCATCACATATTCAAGGACTTTTGTGACACTTCCGAACACAGCCAAGCTTTTGTTGCCTCTCAATTAAGTAATCCAGTGAAAGGTCCTGAACTTTATAAAGAATCATATTCTAAAGATAAGGTAGCCTGAGCTAAATAAAAAAACACAAATTTAAGATTAAAACCATCAATGTGGCTCTTGTTGTGTGTCTTAACATGGACATCGACCCTCCAGACGTACAGAAAATACCACCGTATAGCCGCGTCGAGGCTTGGGTTGACCCGGCTGACGCAGGATATCGCGTCGTGGACATGATCGGAAAGAATCTCCAGGTTAGTTTTTGCATACGAATTGCTGTCTGTGGGTCTTTCAATGATATGGGTTTCATGCTCTTAGTCCAATTTTAGTCGCAATACGAGCGGTGGCAACCGAAGGGGTGCTACAGGCAGTGTCTAGATCCCAACTTAGAAGAAGTGAAAAAAATTTGCGTTAACATGCGTCGTAACGCACGTGCAGATCGGATTCTGTTTCACTACAATGGACATGGTGTTCCCCGACCTACGGAAAATGGTGAAATTTGGGTTTTTAACAGGGTACTCTATATAATTTTTATTTCTCTTTCATTTTTGGTGTCTTTAACTTTCGGATTTTCTTCTAGACCTTTACGAAGTACATTCCGTTGTCACTCTACGACCTCCAGCGTTGGTTGGGTGGACCGTCAGTCTACGTTATTGAATGTCAAAACGCTGGTCGTGTGCTCAAACTATATGAATACTTTTGTCAGCGCAGGCAAACGGAAGTGAGTTTGTTTCTTTTCTATCCGATGCACTGGATGCTGCCTATTGGGCTGTAGACAATACCAAGATGGAAGGTTTTCTGCTAGTGATGTCTGGGCGGGCACTGTTTCTTCCGTCTCAGGGGTCATCCGGAGGCCCATTGTTATGGCAGAAATTCATGCGTAGTTATACTTTTCGGGTAGCTTTAATCCTTTTAAATGTTCTCTCGACTCATTTGAACATCTGATTGCGTAGAAACAGTCAGGTGAAAACCGTTTTGGTGCCCTTTGTTTGTAATTTAGTCCAGCCGCGCTCAGCGACTTTACATGCATGCGTCAAAGCCTTTATTAGCCTATCCAAATGGTGTTTTTCCACTTTCGTGAGTCATTTCGAGTGAGTCGTCCAGTTTCTCTTAGTTGTGAATCCACCTGACTGAGCGTCTGTGGAACATTGTGGTCGTCACATTAGTTTAACATCCTTTTGACACTGTCTACTCAGACATCCTCTTTTGCTGTTAAAATGCGTTCACTATACCTGTATACATTACCTTCCTTGCACTAGATTTGCTCTCTTCTTAATGAAGGTGGTCATTAGTCATCCCTTCAATATATGAGGCAAATATCCTTTCATCGTTCTTCATTTTCTATTTCAAGATGTCCAATCCGTCCGTCCCGAACAGTGGCATGCCGACCGCGGAAGGCGTTCAACACGAGGCCGGTGCTTTCGGTCATGTGAGTCTGATTTTCCCCTCTTTATTGATGATCTAATTCATTTAGGTGTCGAGTACCTCCAAATGCTGCCTTTTTTGGAGCTGCCTTTTAGGGAGTGTGCGAATGAATGAATATGTAAAAGAGTAAACAGATGTATGGTTGGATTGGTTCAGAGTGAAAAGCCAGATGTAGTTGACTGAAGAGGATAACCGTTTCGAAAGTCGGCATAGCTGGTCTCCATCACTTTTTCACGGTTTTTTTCTGCCTGCCGCTGATATCATTTCTGATCTAATGACCTTTCTATGATGTTCGCCTGGTTCAAGCTCAGATGCAGGCCTCCTCTAAGGCTTTGTTAGAAGTGGAGGAGATGGCAGAAGTGCGTAAAGTTGTATCATGACTAGGACTTGGCTAGAAGCCGACTATAATGATCATTGTTGGAGATCTGCCACCTTCCGACTCCATTAAGCGAACGCATGAGTAGGCGAATAGGCAAACGGATGACTGTGACTGAAATACTTATTGAATGAACAGTCATTATTCCGGAATCTAATATTCCAACTGCTTAGAGGGTCGTCAGAGCTCAAAAGACAGTAATGGCGAGGGCATATTCAGGAGTGGATCCACCTTAACGTCAATACCATCACTATTGCCTTTGTTCAGGCATACTTAAGCCACGCTAGTGGGATGAGTCAGATGGGTGCCGCCGCTGTCGCCGCAGCAGCCATTTCTCCGGCTACCATGGAAAATACAATCATGCTATGTGCCTGTGAAGAGAATGAGGATCTGCCCCAACTGGCCGAGCTGCCTGCCGATCTCTTCACGGCCTGCCTAACCACTCCTATTCGCACGGCATTGCGGTGGCATTGGATGAAGTATAACAAGTCGTTCCCTGGTTAGCTTCTATTTCCATCCTTGTTCCTTTCCTGCCGACTCTTGATGCTCCAATCCAAAGCCCAAAGTGGATTTTAACAATCGCTTTAATAGTCATCCCTCTCAATTCCAGCCGGGCGGATTAGGCCGAAACATTTGTGGAGGGCAATACTCTTTCTTCATTGAACTCTTCCATATTCTGACATTTTGATAAGTGATGCGACTTTTAGTCGCTCACGAAGGATGTCTATTGAAATTTGCTGACTAAAGATGCCTTTGGAACCGATTTTTAGGTACCCAAGCCGACTGACAAGCGAACTTTCCTTCTGTCCCTTACTTCCATGAAATTTTTGTGAAGAGAGATTGCAGAAAGTGTCTTTCTTCTTCTTCCTGTTCTCTCCTCAGGTCATATTGACGAAGCGCTTCTGGATCACATCCCGGGTGCTCATGGCAACCGAATGTCTTTACTGGGTGAGATCAACTGGATATTTACCGCAGTGACTGACACTATTGCTTGGTGCAGTTTCCCTGCGGAACTCTTTCAAAAGCTCTTTCGTCAGGATCTCCTAGTTGCTAGTATTTTCCGCAACTACCTACTTGCCCAACGTCTTATGCGTGCATTTGGCTGCCATCCTTGCTCTTGGCCCCGTCTCAACCCTACTCACGATCACCCTATATGGTACTTGACTCGATGATTAACTCGCGTCTCTTGACGACCTGATTTTTTAGACTTTCCTCCATTCATTAGTTTAAGTCTGAGAGAACTTATTCCACCTCTATTCGACTTGTAGGAGTGCCTGGGATCACTCTCTGGACCTTCTCTTCCATTATCTTCCTCAAGTAATCTCTGCCATGCAGACAAATCCACAAGCAGATTTGGCATTACTGCAGCAGCACCAACAGAATCCACAGCAGAATCTTCCACTTCTGCTACCTCCCCCAATATCACCTGGAGGAATCGGGGACATTCCCAGGGAATTGCTAGAACTGACATCAGCTTCGGCTCAGCGTCTTACTGCCCTATTGAAAGAGATTGATAGACAGGTGGAGGAGGTGAAGCAGAAGAAAGCGAAGCAGGCGAAAGAAGATGGATATGGAGGACAAAAGCGACCGATGATTGCCCCGCCACCGGGCTATGAATCAAATAATGGAGTTGTAAGTCTTTCTACATTGTTGCGTAAGATCTTTAGAAATCAGTGAAATGGAATGTGGGGGAATAGCAGAGGTTTGTTATTAGGACGAAAATTATATAGTGAATGTGCTATTTAAATTGACAGGCTCGTGTGCAGATGCGCTGTCGTGGCTATCAAACCAATTACAAGACCAGAAGCGTTTCTTCCGGGTGTTTAGTGCTATCAGTAAGGAAAAGTGAAATAACTAGGCTTTGCGGCTTTGAATAAGGAACATCCACTTGGGTCGTCACATAGCGTATCTTTAGGTCGAATCTACGTCCTTCAGGACGTTTTACGAAAGAAAATTGAGGGGTTGCTAATTGTTGTGTAACAGTTGCTTGAATCTTAACTGAATCTGTGGAGGACTGTGCTTATTTTCTTTATAAGCATTTGATACCTGCCTCCATCCCTTCCAAGACCTCGAAATCTCGCCACCATGGAAAAGGGTCCACCTCTCTGTCGCCTCGGAAGGTAACGAAATTTGTTGTGGAGACACGTGAACTATCTCGCATCAGCGAGGAGGAGCGTTCGGCGGAAGTCTCGACAACTGCTACCGGTGCCGTTGCTCCATCCTCGAAATCGTATTCCTGCCCCTCCCACATGCCTCATAGTTCGCATACACGAAATTCGGAAGAACAGGGTGAGGTGGGACACCACCACCATCATCACCATCATGTGAGCTTATTTTCTAAGAGGGATGAAGTACACTTCACGGATGCATAGAAGGGTAATGTTTCGCACGTTGTATCCCATCTAATTTTAGCCTTCAAGGTTCTACTTTCTATTATTCTCAGGTGTTTGGCATCACATAACTGGAATGTAAGTCTAAAACCTTTTTTACAGGGTTGTGATTCCGAGGAGACGGAGTTTTCTTCCAGCGACATAGATGTTGATGAAGATGATGTAACGGAAGACGAGGAAGAAGAAGAAGAGGAAGAGGACGATGATTATGGTGAGATGGAAGGCACGACACAGGAATCTCGATCTCAAGAGACCACAGAGCATGGGCAACGTCCTCAGCACCACACACCAAAACAGCAGCAACAAAACCAACTGGATCAGCCTGATGTGGTGAGTTGTAGATGTATCCGTTGGTACTGCTACATGTCTTGCTCATTGGTCTGTTATTTCAGTTTTTTGCACTTGTTTACCATCACACACGACAACTTCTCTTGCTTTAAACGACTGACTAGACAATCTACTTCCGTTTTAGCAACAAATTCAGCTTCCACAAATGAAAGTTTCCCTCGAGACCTCCCACCAATCTCCGTGTTCGGGCCTCGCGTCCATACGTTCCATCCGAACCGACCTCCATTCATCAATTGGAGGCAGCGATGCTACCACAAAAGCTAAACCTTCCAGTTCTTCTATCTCCGTTGCCTCTCTCTTAGCGCGTTGTGCTCAGCCACGTGTTGCTCCTGTGATTGGTCCTACTCCTCTGCCCCTCGTCCATGATCCATCCCCACCCGATTACCGTCCTGCTTCCTTCTTCACCTCTCAAATGACCGCTTTCCAGGCGTGGTTGCATCAAGCCGCCTCCAATAATACTGCCTACTCTCAACGTCAGTCTGCCATCCAACTTCCCATCCTCCTTCAAGTCCTTCTCTCTCAAACACATCGCATCCGCGCCCTCCAACTTCTTTCCGAGTTCCTTGATCTCGGCTCATGGGCGGTGTCGCACTGCATCACTGTGGGCATTCTTCCCTACATCGTCCGACTCTTTCATTCTAATGTGCTCGAAGTGAAGCCTCACCTCGTCTTTATTTGGGGCAAGATTATTAGCTCTGCACAAATTGATTTTAGTCGACACGAGGGTATTCGCGAATCTGGGTATAGATACTTTGTGGCGTGCCTTCAGGATGATACTAGTCTGTCACCTCTTGTGCGGACCATGGCTGCTTTTGCTCTGGCGAAGATGTTGGTCCGGGGCGAGACGGGGGCCCCAGATGTGCTGTTTCAAGAGGTCTACTACTCCTCCAAGCCCGTCTCCTTTATCCATATTGCGGCGGAGGAATTGACTCGTGTGTCGGCTGTTGCGGCTGCTGAAGCAATGCGAGATGGCCACAATTTTGACCACCTGAAAGTGTGGTTGTTATTGGCGTTGGGGCGGGTCTGGATGCAGTGTGATACAGCTCGGTGGTTGGCAGTGAGGGCTGAGGGTGGAAGGGCGATGGAGACAGCGATCTTCCCTAGGCTCCAAGATGCAGATCCTATTGTAAGAGCGGCGGCAGTGTTTGCGTTGGGGACACTGATCGATCAGCCAGTTGAGGAGGGGAAGAAGAGTGAAGCTGATATGGTACGTGAAAAATGGTCTTTATCCCTTGAAAATGCTGAGCATAGCTGGACGGATGAATGAGTTACCAAGCGATTCCGCAGCTTAGTCACCAAGTGGGCATCCGCCTGGTCGAGCGAACCCGCGACCCCTCCCCGTTGGTTCGTTGTGAGGTGGTGGTCGCTCTTCGTAGCCTTGTGCTGCAGTGTGAACTCCAGATGGTAGAACAGGCTCATCTCTGCTATCGTAACATCCTTCGAAGTCTTCGAACCGCTCCTATCGACTCCAACCTCGCCACCTCTACCACTCCATCTGCTGCCATCAATAACTGCGATTGTTCCCGAACTGGTGCGTCTCGTTTTTCAAATGCTGTACTGAAAAGCTTTGTTTACCTTCTTTAATCGGTTCATTGAAACCTGAAACCATGAAGACAAATAACTGGGTCAGCTTAGTCTCGGCATCTGAGACTCTTCGTCTTTTGGGTGCGTAAATCAACTGCTTTCCTGATGGCGTCCCAAAGCTTTAGTTCTTTGGCTAGCTTTTTTCTTACCCAAGTATCATTAGTCTCTCTTTCATACTTATCTACTTAAGAGAACAGAAGTCTATTTTGGTTCCCATCTGCATTCTGCAGTCGGTAGCCCAATTGGATCACCCTCCAGTGCCGCAGCTCTGCTTCGTGGAATGGCAGAATTAAGCCTCTCTCGATTCAGTCGATCCTCGCGTTATCGCAGCCAAAAGGACCTTCAGCGCACCTCCGTTAGTGAGACTGGCTCTGTTGTCCTTCCTTCGGATATCTCCGACAGCACAGAGGACTTGAATACAGTACCAACTTTCCTCGAAGGTAATTTTGCTGCTGCTTGAGGTTAAACGATTTCGAAAGTGTCTTTATTTGCAACCATTCAGAGGGTATAGATGACCATTGTCATTCGAATGTGGACCGAATTGGGTTTGCTTTGAGTTTTCCCACTATAGGTTGGGAGTTTTAGGTTTTTTGGTGTCTTGGAAATCTCCTCTCCTCCTCTCCCACCTTTATTGTTATTTCAGAGACTTTAGGTGGATCGAATTGTTCAGAAATAGTCATTCATAAACTGCCTAAAGTAGGAGCAGCTAAGCAGATGGATGTCGCATGCGTTGACAGATGATTAATACCATATTCTGACTTTGATCCACTCACTACTGCACACTTCTGGGGCTGCAGATCGGCTCATTCGTATGCTCAAAGCCAAACGCCACTTGTGGTTAATATCCTCCCTTACTCCAGCTCAAATTTACTTAAGGCAAGGGTCGCTGAATTCGTGACAAGGCATTCTCTGTTATCTCTGGACTGCGCACATCATAACAATGGAATTGTTATTAGTATTTTTTCTCCATGACGGGTAGGTGGGAGACAATTAAACTTGAGGTAGCATAAACAGTTGGATGGTAAAAGTGGAGGTGGAAACGAAACAGGCGTTCCCTTTCTGTCGACATCGTGGGTGGAATTTACACATGCCTTGTCCGTCGGGAGTGAAGTTGAGGCCGTCATCGTCGAGACTAGGCTGTTTGCCTGCTTGCTACGTGTGAAATGTCTAGTGCTTTTTTGTACAATGGCTTTGACGTGCTCTTTATCGCCCCCTCTTTGCACAGATTTTGAACCCAACGTCCCTGGAGGCATTTTCGCCCAACTCTGGGACACAATTCTTATTCTTGCCTCCGATCCTCATCCCTCTGTTGCGAAACTGGGCAGAATAATCCTCTTATTCATCGTTCAGGAGGTGAGTTTATTCTAATCACCGCCCCTCTCCATTGTGCACTCGCCTAAGGAGCTGTCTGGCCCATTCATAGTCGGAATCCACACGACTGCCATAGTAACGTTAAATTTTGCTAAGTTATAGGTTATGCTCTCTTCGGCCATTTGCCACATGCGTGCTTGTCCTGGCACTCACCTCAGTGCTTAGTTGAGGTCTGGAATTTTACCTATCTTATTGTCGGTTATCACCTCTGTAGCTCACATTATTTCATGTACCACCAGCCATCCTTCTACTCCTCTTCTCTCTCTTACCAGAGCTACCTTTATGGTATTCGGCAAACACTAGAGTTAAAATGCATCAACATTTTGGTCACTTTCAAATGCCCTTCTAATTCTTTTCTTTGGGTCTCACCCTTAATTGCATGTTAGTGCCATCCTCCTCAAAGTTGACTTGTGGCCTTTGCGACCCTGTGCATTTCTCAGTCTACTAAATACACATCTTAGCGTCACGTGATCAAGAGGTCATCTTGCCGCTACCGCCATCACTAAATAAACCCTGACCTCAGGGTGTCCCGTGATGTCTTACATCTTGGTTTGGCCCGGTGTATTCAACAGATAGCCGTAATGTATGCATCTCGTTCCACTTTGCAGCTATGGTAACCAACGCCTCTTTTCTTCCCTTTCAGCTAATTCGACGAGTGAGTTCAGTGGATTCTCGCTGCATCTCTTTCCTTCACTTCGAGTGCCCTTTGTTATTGTGCTTCCGCCTTTTTGTGTATAGCATAATATAGATCGCGAGATCACGGTGGTGGACGGACGCCTCTTCCTGCGTGATCCACCAACTCCCGGTGACGGTGATAGGAGCAGCACTTTGAATGAGGGGCAAATGAAGACACCACCGTGAGTGCTACTATTATTGCGCTGTTCTATTCACTGTCAAGGGTCACTTTAGGTTTGGCAGTTCTCTAAGGAAGTAAATCATGTCTCTTTTCTCCCCTCAATGTTGTCCATCGCTGCTAGATCAGTGAAGTTGCTTCTGGGTGTCTGTGAGACTGAATATGCATAGCAAACTTTTTTCCCTTCGGCTTCTAAATGGCGTTTTTTATTCGTTATCTTTGCCTTGTGACCGTCCAAGGGCGTAGAACATGAGATGAAACTTAGTTGTCAAACGCTAATACTAGTGAAATTGCGTATTCGTACTAGATATAGAGCTCCAGCTACTCCGAAGATCCCCTTCATTCCGGTTTTTAGCGTTACGAACGTGAAAGTTAAGTGTCATGAGGTCAAGGTGACCGTCAAAATAATTGTTATGCCTTATGCACATACCTTTTTTTCCCGCCTCATTTTGTAGTCCATCACCACAGCAACAACCACCGACAGTCATCACATCACAGCAAATTCCTCGACGAAGGCAATACGCTGGATCGGACAGTATCGTACGTCTGTTTGCCCGGATAGTGCTTCTGATTATTGACAACTGCGTTGTCACCTATTTCACTGTTTTATTCACAGGGTGGAAACAATTCCATCTTGATGGGAGGTCAATCTGAAGTGTCTTACAGACGGCTTGAATGGCACATTTATTCATTCATCCCTAACTTTTGGTCAAGACCCCTCAACATGAACTCCTCTATCCCATTTTCCATATCGCCGTTTCGAAGTCTTTCTCTTTTGTTTCGTTTCAATGTCTAGACAATTCACATTTTCTCTTAACAGAGCTCAACCGAGAAAGTGGGTACGATGGACGTTCAGACGGAGTTCTTCCAGTGGTGTTCTCAGTGGTTCAGTCAACCCCTTCTCCACAAGTATCCCGATGCTTTGCAAATTCAACAGTCCCTTGGCAAGGGTGAGTCAATCCTCAGTAATTGATCTCGTAATTGCATACTGCTCCCCAGCCATTTCAAAAAGTCTTTTGCCACAAACAGGCCCGCTAGTGCAGCTAAACCACCTCATTTCTACCACGGCCTGTTCCGTATCTCACTGAACTGGATTTGGAAGAAGAAGGGTCTGCAGAAACTGTTTTGCCGCTTGGCATATGTATGTTTGTCGCAGGTTCCCGCTTTTCTAAGTGGTGGTCGTGTTGCATTCACAGTGGTAAGAGCGAGGGCCTCATGCGCTGATTCGATGTTTGTTTGGCGAAATGAGTGACGGTGAAATTGAGTGTGAGGTCTACGGTGAACTACCATGGCCAGGCTACTGGGAAACTAATTGTTCTATCGTTGAACCGTATCTTAGTGTGATTCAAGGCGAATTTATCCACTGCGATTGAGGTTTGCTGCAGGCAAGGCTACGCATCCACTTGTTCGAGTTCCGTGCCATGTTTAGGAGGGACTTTGCTTATTACCATAGGCTAAGCATAAATGCACTCGCCCAGTAACATCGCACTTCTCCCTTCTCCCATCTTGAGTGGTGTCAAATGTTTTAAAAACGGATTTAACTGGACTGAGTTAAATGGAGTTCGTGTTCACTATTAGTTCAGGTATAGATTTGGAATCGGCTACAAATCTCGATGGACGTGATTAGCCTCTCCTGTTGGAGATGAAGAGTCCCTTAGATTGGCACTTCTGAATGTCTCCTTTCTTAAAGATTATATTGCTGAACTAACACTTTGGAAATTCTACTCTCCAATTCTTACAGTCCCGCCACATTCCATGGATCCACCCATCCTCCCACCAACCCTGAGTCCACAAAATCTCACCGATCTCTCCTCGATCTCCACTAATCCCAAAGCCCAAGACTTTGCCGACCACCTACTCAGCTTTAAGAAGCATTCCGCTACGCGATGTGAAGGTCGTCAGCGCTGGCACACCATTGCCACGGGGCAGAAGCCTTCCACTCTCTCCTCCTCCTCCTCCTCCATTCCAGAACGCGATGAAATTCGTCGTTGCATGCGCCACATTGTACATCGCGCCTCCCGTGCCACCTCTCCACTTTCCCCGACACGTCGCAACTGCCGCCATGCCAATCGACTTACTGAGGATGCAGTTCGCTTCTGCTCCACCACCGTGTCGTCTCATCTTGGACGATGTTTTGCCGATTCGGAAGCAGTCGAAAGAGTGGAGAAAGAGGAGGGAATGAACGCGGAGCTGCAGCTGCTCCATGTATTCAAGCCGGGACCAGGAATTGCTGCTGCAGGTCCAGCGGCAGTTGCGCGTTTTCATCCTTATAAACCACATCTCCTGATGGCGGAAGCTGTTGCTGATGGTGAAGAGTATGCAGTGAGTGTGTGGGGTGTGCACAGGTTTGAAGGGGTGCGACGTCTGACTCTGGCCGACGGAGACGCAACAACGGGAAAATCGACGGTGGCTGACGCGCTAATGGACGAAATTAAGCGGCAGCGGGCGCTGACAGAGGCGTATGAGTGAGTGATATCATCTTCTTCCTCATTGTTTAAAAGTATTTCACATCTCTCATTTCACCATCCTCCATAGCTGTATTTAGGAGGTAGTCATGGAATTACACCCTCAATCGTTCTCATCATTTGATACCTTGGCAACTACGCCACCATCCAGTTTAGACAGGTTCTTAAGTGGCTACGATTGCCTACTCCTGGCAGTGAAGTCTTTGCTCTTTTGGCTGCGGCCTCTTCCATACCCCCAAAGTAGATGAAGAGGGTTTACTCATCGTGGTAGCGACGAGAAGAGTGGAAATACATTCTTTGGAAATGGGGAACTTTTATCCAATTTTTTTTCTCTAGCCTGGCACAGGTGACATCATTGGAGATTTTAAATACGTTGGAGGAGAAAAGCCTCCTTCTCACCGCCTCCAGAGATGGATGCATCCGCGTGTGGAGCGACTATGATGGGAAATATGGGGCCACTCCTTTTCTCCTTACTGCCTGGTGAGAACTTTTAAAGATTTGGGCTGCAAGTTTAGCGCATGATCTAATCACTAAGGTTTGACATCGATTTCATCTGGACCTTGATTGTTGAAATCGGGAATTCCGCTAACCTATGAGGTGGAAAAATTATCACTCCCCTATTGCACTCCACGTCAGGGTTGCCTTCGAGAATCAGGTTCCCCTGATCCATTCTCGTCGAACGACCGGCGTCGGTCTGGTCACGAGTTGGAGCGACTGCTCCCTTCATCACCTCCTTCATGTCTCTGGGGACGTTCGAGTTGTACGTACTTTCGACACAGACCAGGAGGCCTGCGTTGCTGACTTTGATACCCATTCTGATTGCCCTGTCACTCGGCTAGCCCGTCCTGCAAATGATAACGACCACCTTTTTGTCGCCGGGTTTGCTGACTCTCGGGTGAAGATATTTGACACTCGACTCTCCTCCCACAAAGCGTGAGTAGCATCTTTCGTAGACTTGGCGATTTCTAGCGCCGCTAACAATTGACATTGTCATTTTCTTACAGTGTTGTTTTTGAGACTGTCTGTGGAGGTGGACGTGTGTTAGATCTCGCGTTCGCTCCCTATCAGGCGGACCGCCGGCTCTACGCCGTGACGAGTTCGGGCGCTGTAGGGGCGTGGCAATTGGAGTCACCAGCAGCTAACGCCACTTGGCAGTCGATTGCGCCGTCCGCAGAAGGTAAAATTGATGGCGATGCCCCCCAACCTTCCCCTCCTTCAATGTGCAGTGTCAGGGCTGCGTATCTTCAGGTGAGTCTTCTTTTTCATCAGTTGGTGTTTTGGGAAGATTATTTTTATCCTTTCTTGGTGGTTTATGATGCGAGTACTATCATTCTCTCTCCTCTTCAAAGGTCGCATTGCCCTGCACTCGTTCGCATATGGTGGCATACGGCGGTCTGCGACGATTTAGCGTCGCCCGTCTCCACGATGCTCGAATCATTGCCTCATATCAGACGGCCCAGAATCTCTTTCCCACCGCTATTGCAATGCACCCCTATGAGGTGAGAAATGTTTAGGGCTCGGTTGTTGTGATTGTGTCTCCGTTGGATCTTTTGTGAAATATTAAGCGATTAATGGCAAGTAGGAAACTGAGAACGTTGGAGACAAGGGAAGAGGGTGTCAGGATTACTCCGCATGGATACGGAAATTACAATCTTCTTCCTCAGTTGAGGAGGAGTTTTTCTGTGGATTGTTTAAATCGAATTTCAAGATGACAACTATCTCATTTTCCATATGGTAGATATGGAAGGGAGCTCTTGAAATCGTGATTGCAGTTCCCTCCTAAGGCGCTTCAGTCGCAGTTTTGTGGAAATTGCTGCAATCCAAATTAGTCTATTTCCTCCTTACACAGTCGGGGTTGGGATTGTGGGGATCGAGGTGCTCATTTCGAAAAAATCTTCATGCTATGGACTCCATCTAGATGGACTTCAAGGGGCGACTTCTATGGGTTTATTTTGTAAGCGTCAACGCATCATTCCTTCTAGTAAGGTTTGAAGAGGTGATGCGGAATGCATCATCTACAACCTATCAAGGTCATAAACAACGAGGCTTAACAAAGATGTCGGTCTTGTGGTAGCTCCATGTCATTCGCAGAATGTAATTCATTCGTTCACAACAGAGGGGGAGAGAAGGAAAGCAATGAGATGAAAATGCATGAATTTGTAGAAAAATACTTTTAGAAGGGTCTGCTTCCCTTTTCTGAATCTCCCTTTTCCTCTAATTGAAAGTCAATATCCGCAGTGGAGCTGTAGAGGAAAGGTGAGAGGGATTTGGGGTGGCCTAGGGCAGGAGAATCGTGATTGGGACCGCTTTTGGGTTTAGCATGGTCTAACGCAGCAACTCTCTTCACTACTCGGGCAGATGATGGACGTGATAGATACGCGGAGAAGGGGCAATTTACCTAAAAGGTGCGTTTCGACACTTATAATTTCTTTTTTTTGCTAGCCGCTGATCGCTGTGGGAATGAATGATGCGTCGATTCACCTTCTCAAATTCCGCCTCTCACCGACATCATGAGTCTTTTGAAAGAAAATCGTCTTTCACCACCCGTTAACAATCCACTGAGAACCCAAGATTTGATCTAAGAAATTACATTAAATCTCCTTCCCCTCTGCATGCCTTCCCTCCTCAAATCGTCTTTTTCTTTTCGAGTGATACGTATCTCCTTCTCCTGCTTAAGGGGTCACTTTTTTGCCCAATACTGCTCTCCTCTGTATCGCGCCTTTTGATGTGTATAAAGCGTCAAGTAGCAAGTTAATTGCTTGTCTCCTTTCACGTCTTTGAGATTGTCTCTCCTAACGGTTCCCATTAGCTCTCTGGTGAATTGCGGATTGAAAATGCGGTAGAGGTTAGCGGATCTTCGTGTGCCTCAAGTAATAGTGGTAACAGTGAACGATGTGCCCGCGAGATCTCTTCACTGACCAGGTGACTGGGTAACACCGGAGACGAGAAGAGAAAATATGGATTCCTCACTTAGACGGTGTTGAGCATTGAAATTGTTTCTCCTGGCTGCTGATTGGGGACTAAACACGCTCAATGTGAACATCCTACTCATTGGCGGACCTTCTGTTTCCCAGTTTTGTTCATCTTAAAGGAATTGTCAGGTCAGGTAAGGTCGGCCAGATGGAATGTCAATGAGGTCATATGACTCAATCTAGAATGAAAAGCGTAAACCATTCGATGACTGATAAGGGAAAGTTACCATAGAAGGAATTTAATGCCTTTACTCAAAATTCGAAGGGCGATATTGTGGTGATTTTGTGTTCTGTGCAACCATGCGGTCAGCTGTAGTGTCGCCTCGGCATGCGCGGGAGTACGTTATTGTAGCCATGAGGTATTTAATAAATAACTCTTTTGGGTCTAAGTGCGTTTTCTGTCTGTAATGATTTGTTTATGTAACCTCCAGCCGGTTGCTTTATGATTCATCTGGTCCTTGTGCACGTGGGCTGGTCTTTGAGCCAGGCTCAGACTTGATTTACTTCTCTCACCTTAGAATACATGTCTTTAGCTCTCCTTAATGGCTTGTTCTACCCGGTGGTAAGCCGCAGGGAACCACAATCCCAACCAAGGGGTGTCGTAACAAGTCGCGTTGATGGATAGTGTAATTCTTAATTCATTTACTACATGCACTCAGATGCAGAATGTACCTAAACGAGCAGACCAAAATGTGCATGCATGTATATTAATGTCAACAGAATGGAGCAAAACATTAAGGACTTCTCTGCTTATGAATGTTGGCGATATTCTTTGCTCATTCGCCAATTCAAATTAACAACCACAGACTTTAACATTTTTTATTCGGTTTTATTCAATTTTTTTATTAAAAGTGCATAAAGTATTTGTTTGCTCTGCAATACAAAATTGCTTTTGTTTTGTTTTTATTACCTAACAGCTAATTTATGGCCTTGACGGTGCAAAAGCGGTCCGCTAACTGGGTTTCGGCGCGTTGGTCAACTACTCCTCTCATCATGTTGGGTGGGTTGCGCGTGTCGGTCTTACGGTTACACCCTGCTTTCATATTTCTTACAGATTGCTAGCTTTTCACTTGAAGAAAAATCGTTTATGCTATGTTCTGGGCTCTTTAGCCCAATATGTCTTCCACATAGACTCATTCATCGCTCTTATACAGTACCAATTTTGCACCAGCAAGCAATTGTGTGATTACGCCATAAATCTGGTTATTTCTAAGATCCATATCTCCTATTTAAAATGCAGCTTTATTCTTATTTACTTTGTAGACCCAGACTCTACTTGCTAAGAGTAATCCATCATTTGCGTTAAATGAGCTATCCACCGGGTTCCCTTCGCTCATGTCACGAAGCTGATGGCCGCAGCGATCGATCTGGTGGTTCTGGTGGAACTGGAAGCGGAAGTGGCTGTGGAAATATCTACGGGAGTCTCTACGGCGCCTTCAGTGACTGTAAATGGCATCACCAAGCCCAACAACAGCAACAACAACAACAACAGCCGCATCACCAGACTCAAAAGTCACAACAGCAGCTGGGTCAGGCCCAGTCCACGTGGCAAAAGTGGGCCGCCAGTTTCGACGCTTTATTAAGCGATGGGGAAGGAGTGGCCCTATTCAAATCCTACCTCGAATCGGAGGGTTGTGGAAACCTCCTTGATTTCTGGTTTGCGATTCAGGGCTTCCGCAGCAAAGTTGACCCTTCTGACCGTAAAAAGATCCTACAACTCATCAAGGTCATTTACCAAACTTACATCCGCGGTTCCGCTTCTTCTACTTCCGTATCTGCTTCATCCTCGGCGAGCGGAGTTCCGCCTCCTTCTGCCACCGTGACTCGTAGCCGACGCAATCATACCCCCGTCCGTTTGCGACCTGAAACTCGCCGTACAATCGCGGATCGTTTAGCGCACAAGAGTTCTCTGGATCAAACTGTCTTTGATGAAGCTCAGGCTGAAGTTGGTCATCTTCTTCGCACCTCTGCGTATCAAGCCTTCCTCAAATCCGAAGCTTTCATCGCACACATTCAACAGGATGGTCTGGGTCCAAAGCCTGCTCTGCTGTGCTCGGAGGATGAATTCACTCGTCATACCGCTTATCTACCCACTGTGGAGGAGGATCGAGAGTTGGGACAGGCACAGCTGCCCCTGAGAGGTAGTTCTACACCGGCCACCTACCATTATTTTTGTGGGCCCCCAATGCTACAACAACAATGTGCATGTCAGAGCGGAAATCCCTGGGGAGTGACCTACTATCCTCCACCCACTCCACAAACCTGTTATCCTCCAGCACCACTAACACAGGAGAATATCCAAATGACGCGTTTTCAGAGAGCTGAACTGCCTGTGCCTCAACACCTCGCCTGCTGCCCTCACTGCCAGACGCCATTTCCTCAACAGCAGCAAATTCCGGGACCTAGCAATCCCCTATCACCAGCACAGCATAAGTCCATGGGGAGGATGAGTGGAGCTGGACAGAGGAAGTGGATGGATGCGGTTTGGTGAGTGTTTTATTTAATCTCGCCACCTTTTTCTCCATGCAACACTCGGTTCACCTCCCAGAAGCAAGGAGAGGAACTGTGGAGCATTCTTTTGTTTTAAATGCCTAATTCTCAAAATTCAGTTTTTTTCAGTACTTCTGTTTTCGTTCTCCTCTTTTAATTTGTGAACCTTTTAAATGCTATTCATTCCTAATTTTGCCTCAATTCAAGAAGATGATTCATTGTACAACTTCCTTCCGTTAAACACCTTTTTTAGTGGTCGTAGACGTCCAAAAGCTCAGTTAATTTGTGCTTATTGTTGGGCCTTTTCTACGTTTTTTTTGAGATTTCTTCAAATTGCAAGCCTATACCAAGGAGTTGTGGGTTCCATTCCCCCAGACGAGTCGTGCAAGCCTGGCCAGAAGTGGGACAGCGGTTACGTGGGTGGTTGTTCCGTCCTGAGGTCACGATGGCAGGGGAATGAAGTGGATGAGGGGCGACATCTGTTCCTTATCAAACCGCGCACTGATTAGCAGCGACAAAATTTTTCCTCATTTCCTACTGAGAGAAATAAAATGCAAAAAAATCATTTGAATAGTTATCAGGTGAGATACTACTTATTTCGCTCATCAAATGGATAGGGGCGAAGTTGATTCCCCGCAGGAACGACCTCGTTTATTCGTCTTTCCTCTACATTCCAGTACAAAAATGTTTATTTTGTACAATATTTTGCCTTAGGAAAAAAGCTCTTATAACATGTCGATTAACTAATGCGTTCCCACGAAAAGTATGGAAGGGGAGGCGATCGGAAAGCAGCATGTGTGAGGCTGTGAGGTGAAGGTTTTACCTCGTGCATGTGGCTTGTGTTGGCACACAATTTGCGAAAAAATTTCCCACGGTTTAGCCGAACCTCTGCCCTTCTCTCTCTCTCTCTCTCTCTCGCTATCATTTCAATCCTCTGATTGACACGGAAATGAGGGGCAGGGTAGAGGAGGGAAGGCAAGCAGGTATCCACGTCACTCCCTTCGAAAGGTCAGTCTGGGGGCGAAATCAGTGGCTAGCGAATCCTGCTTTCACCTGCCCCCTTTTTCGAACCTTTTTAACTGTGGTGAGAGAGGAGGGGGTGGCGGCAACGTTAACCTGCAAATAAGGCGGAGGAAGTGAGGCAAGAAGTGGATGTACGAACGGTCGGGCGGCCAACCCGCTTGCAAACAAACAAACAACCAGGCTTGAAGTGGCCTTGACACACCCTAGTCGGCGGATGAGTGAGAAGTGGATACAAAAACTTTGTGGCTGTTTCCCTTGCCCTAACCACTACTTGCCTGTCGGAGTGTTTTCCAAACCCTCTAATGAGGCTAATGAACTCTAAACTCTTCCACTCCTCAAGTCCTGGGATGGGCCGACGGAGGAGGTTGTTTGCGTGGATATGCGTAACACACTGAGGCGAACAGATGCGGGTTGTTCTTTGTTGCACAGATAATCACGCTCTTGACCCAGTCCATTTTGATGGGGTTACAGTCCCACCATTCACCTGCCCGAATACTTCGTTTCGTCCTCTTTACTGTAACAGTTGCAACAGATGCGGATTATCAAATGGCCAATTTGGATTTCGGGGTTTCAAGTTTTCCTGCCTCGTTGTTTTGAAAGTACCGATGCATTTGGCCTTCTGTTTTGAACTGTATACTTTTTCGCCGTTAGTCTTGCTTCCTTTTCTGCTTCTCTTACCTCTGATCAACATGTCACAATGAAATTCACCTCTTGTCAAAATTTCCGCGCCTTTTTTCCTTCTCAACTTTTGATCAATGGCGGTGCTGGCGAGTGCGCAAAGGAGAGTAGGGAGGCAGGTGGCAGCGGAAGGCGGAGGAGGAGAGGTGTGAATTTGTTGCCTTTTTACAATTTTAATTTTTACATTTTTGCGGTTCTGTTGATGTATGATGAAACAGAAATAAGTCAGTGATGGTCAAATGGAAGGAGTGTTGACGTAGGGGTCAATTCAACAGTGCTAGAATGGCTCCAATAGGTGTTATGGCCCGGAAGAAGGGCTGTCAGGTGCTTCCAGAAACGTCTGCAGATTACGTGAGCAGGAGGGATGTGGCAGCTCTCTGTGAGGACATTGTCTTCCATTCAAGCACTCCAAACTCGCTAACTACAATGAGAGGGCGAGACGTTTGATCAGCTCCACTGCATCTCGATTGTTTGCCCATTTTAAAGTGGTCTGGCAGCAATCGTGATATGGCAAGCATAGAGGAGGTGAATCTAGTCAGGCTGAGATGGCAATCGCATATCGCCGCAAAACAGTAGGACGTTTAAATTTGTTTGGGCTCGATCTGAACTGCATTCCTCGTCCACAGCTTCACAAAGAGAACTAGGCAGGACGCGATGAAAGGCGTGTCTGCACGGTTTGCATTAGGACGGATGAGGAGGTGAGGCAAGATGATCCACCAAGGGGTGATTCAATCGTGTCGACAAGTAATTCTTTTCCGCGGGTATTCGAGGTGATTGCCTTAACACTTGTTTAGCCCCTCCTCCATGTCCGTTCTTGTGAATATTCTTTCGCTCCTTACCCCTGTTCGAGAGTTTGGACTTGACTCACACATCTTTCGTCAAATTTTGCGGCCGTTTCTCGCCTGTTCGCTCTAGACGACGCATTATAAATGCACGCAATTAGGCTGAACGGGAGGCACTGTCTGTCAATCAAGGCGTGCAGCGCTTGGTTTAAGGCCAGTGAGCCAGCTTTAGCCAGGGCCTGAGTGATAGGCTCTTTCTTAATGCCTTTTTAATTCACCCACACAGGCGCATACACACACATAGACACGAGACAGCTTGTGCACACATGTGTGTGTGTGGAGGCCTTTTTTTTTATGCCTCCAGTGGATCAATCACTGCATATCTAATGAAGCCTCAACTTGACATGAGCCGGCGTATCTCTCACGCTCTCACCTTCACTCTCCGTATTTGTTTCTGTCAATTTGTAGCTTTTTCTCCTGCTTCGGCTTCGTCGTTGTAAATCGCTTGAGGAAGCCTCAAAACTCGGTATTTTGACAGTTCTGACAGGCGAGCTAAGCTATTCTAACCGATTCGACGACTAGTACCTTGTTGAGACAGTCCTGAGGTTTACGTACGCATTCATTATTGGAGCGCCTGTCGCCTCTGCAAGGTGAGTGGCGTTGGAATCTCCGCCCTTATGGCATGCCGAGCGTCCTTAGGCGAGACACACCCTCACCTTGCTCACTTCGTGGTATTTCAATTCGCTATCTGTAGTGGTTTAGTGACTCCTTCCAAATTCATTCCGTCGATTGTCTCAGGTTGCGACTTCACAGCGGTGGGTCCATATGTGATTCTGAAGGTCCCTTGTGAGAATTTCAATGAGTTTTGCATCAAAGCACACGATGTGTCTTTATTGACGTGTTTTGTAGGGTTGGGAGAGACATTTAAGGTCTGAAGTTATGGTCGCCGAAGTTTACTTCAATTCTTGTCAATTAACGTCGTCTTTCTCTGCGACACAAAACAGCCGACAGGCTAATTGAAACACACACACACACAATTTCATGATTCACCTTTGCGACGTCTAGTTGCCTCCTCATCCTCCTCTCATCTCGCTTTAGGTTCTAGTGACTGTTGGTCCGGTTTAATCGCTTCAGCTCATACGGAGGTTCACTGTGTGCATGCGTGCAACATAAGTGAAACTCGCCCGTCATTGGTTGGGTCAAGGTCGACTGCACTGCCAACATTTCAAGTCTATAGACCATGAATTTGCACTTAGGTTTATATGTCTCTTATAAGGTTGTTTTTCCTACTTCTTCATAGCCTAATGTCAAGAGAGTTACTTTGATGACCGAGAAATACACGCAAGGTATGGTGGCGGCGCCAGCTGATGAAGAAAAGAAGAACAATTTCTGCATTGACGGACATACGGTGGGTGCTTTGTCGAAGTTCTCACCAATTCTACGTCTCGAAAATGTCACTTCTCTCCTTTTTTCGGTGATTTTAAGCGAGAGAAATGACGATCTCATAGACTGTCAGAGTTGGTGTTCACATAAAGTTGGAGAGTTTTTAATGGTCTTACATTAACTAAATGAATCACACTCTAAGAAGGTCCAATTGCATCTGCCTTTTTCACATGTCTCCTATTTACAAACCCACACATTCACACAGACTAACATCAAGGCTATTAGCTCGAATACCTGCAGTCCAGTCTCGGCAAAGGACCACTTGTCGACACGGCTTAATCATCCCTTGGCGGGACGTCTTGCCCTACTTCCTCACTCGCACTAGTGAAGACCGTGCGGCTGTCTTTCTACGCACTCCGCATGTACCAACTTCTTACATTTACAAGGTTTAGCAGTAACGAAGGCTAGTTATCGTTAAGCCGTTGTTCCGTACCTTCCAACAGGCGACGTCAGTGTGTCGACTGAGTGTCCACAGTCGTGAATTCTGTATCGGGCAAGTGTTCCACGCATTACTGAAATGCTGCCCAGGCTGTGGCTAGAACTGTTCAGATATGATTCATCAATGGTACACAGATTTGTGTCTGATCGTCTTCAGGGCTTTAACATCATTTTCAAACTGATTGTTTGATTCTCGAGCAGCTGAGGGTGTGTAGGCAAATAGTGTGCTTCAATGTGACCTTCTAGAGGCCTTACTTCCAAAGTGGGACGTAAAATCTCTCCCTAAAGCTAATTCGCTCTTCCCTCCTGTAGAGCCTTTACAACACTAGGAAAATGAACGCTTCGTTTCTTTGCTCTCTGTGGAGCTAAGCTATTACTCTCGCCTCAACGATTTTGCCACTTGTGTGTACACTTTGCCTTGGCAACCCCTTTGAAGACTAATAAACACTGACTTGATTGACATAAAGCTCCCCTTTTTCCTTCTCCCTATTTCTGGGGAGAGCAGTCTCTTTATGATTGATGGTGTGAAATGAGGGAGGATCACTTGAATGATCCAGCACCCTCCAACGCATCAAGTGGCCTACGGGCTGGATCGGCATTGGAGGTAATTCACGCGTGGATCGAGGCGCCTGTCTCCACCGGCACCGCCATCGCCACCGCCACGACCAGCTCATGGTGTCTCCCAAGCGACGCGTGACTCAGTTGCATGATTAAAATCGCCCACCAGAAAAGGGCGACAACTAACTACCTTCTCACCTGCAGCCTCGGCCATCGGGGCTGTACGCATCAACTCCGGCCATACAATCATTTGTCGCCATGATGATTCAGGCTGCAATGATTGTACGACTGAGCGAGTAGAGAAGCTCTCATATCCCTTTAACTATCTTCGCATGCTTTTAATGCCCAAAATTCCCACAGCTCTTGCTTATCTTTGGTAACTCAATTTTATTCTCCGTTCTTTTTTCCCCCGTGGACCTGCATTTCCAGTCCCAAGTACGAGTACTGCTCGCCTCCGCTGCCTCCACAGGGAGGATTTGCGCGGGCACCTCCCAATCCCTACCACGTCTCCTTCGCTCCGGTCTCCATGCAAGACTCAGAGCATCACAGTCTCTCCAGTGGTGCTCACACGGAAGAAAACCTCTCCCACATTGATGGCACGTGGTGAGTGAGGACTACCAGTTCATTCAATGCCTATTTTTATTCCTTCTTTCTTCACAAGAATTATTTCAAAGACTTAATTTTATTGTTTTTTACTCTCCCTCTCTCTCTCTCTCTCTGAGTCTGGGAGTGGGTTAGCGGCCGACCTGGTAAAACTGTCCGATTCTGAGTGGAAAAAGGTTAAGGAGTCAACTAAGCGGCTGGTTGATTTAAAAAAAAAACGCCATCAACTGTCACTTTTTCGTGTCTGAAATTCTTTCTCTCTTTTTCATCTTGTTAAGCGGATTATTTGAGCCCCCTTTATTCTTCTGCGTGGACAACTTGGGTGTGTGCTCTGAGGCGGTTTTTATTTTTTTTTCCTTCACTGGACGCCTTTCACCGCATTGTTTGGACGCTTGAAATTGTGCAGTTGAGTGGTTCTTTACTGCTCTCCACTTCTTGTTTTCATAGGGAAAAATTTGCTTTATAAGACTCGGCTCCACTTGGTAATGTTCAAATTAACAAAGTTGGGCAGCATTTCGGAAATCCAACAGTCCGTGCTGACCGATTGAGGTCGTTCCCTTGAGTCCCAAGATGCGACCGGATAGGGGACGGAGCGAGGGGAAGCTGAAGCGTGGAGGGTGGTTGAATGAGTAGTGTGCGATTCAACTCTAAAATTCACTTAATGCTTTGTGTCAAGACTTCGTCCACCTTCCAAACGAGTATTTCTTTTCAGCCTCTTCCATCACGTCCCACTAAGTCGATTTGGTGTGTTGTGGGTTGACAGCACTACTTTCACTCTACGATAGTCCGAAAAACTTTGAATTATTCATTTCAATGGTGGTTGGAACGGTGTCCTCATTATAAAAACGCCTTCTCCGGAATCTTGTTCATCGACTTGTTGCTTGTACTTCGGGGACAGTTGCATGAAATGTAACTCCTTTCAATGTGATTACTTGGATCCGTAAATGTAAATTTGCATTTACATTCTGGACCGATCGTCAAATCGTTCGCTGGAGGGAGGCGCAGTCACCTCTAGATTTGGTGGATTTGGTGTGCTGTGCTGCCTTCAGTGCTCTCCTCCCCCTTAAGACGAAGGCTCACCTTCAGCAGTCGGCTGCCGTCGAAGTCTTTGAAGGTGCGGGTTAGGCTAGCGTTGGATTGAGGAAGCCAAAAAAAAAGCAAGTTGTAATGTTCAAACGACTACTCTTCCTCCCTCCATTCCATGATGCAATTGGCACGGTGGACAGATGTCTTGCCAATCCACCAACCTGTCAGATTCAGTGTGATTTTTGTGATGCCTTGAATCGGAACTTGAGGGATTTTTACCGACTCCGCATTTCCTTGTAACGCAATTGTTTATCTTCGGAAACTACGAAAGTTCTCTCAAATTCTCACCACCTTGCCAACTGCTTTGGTCTAGCCATCATTCTTTGCTTGGTGGATTTCTTGTAGCCGTGTGTGGGGGTGTGTTTGTGGTCGTCGTTTTTCACACCAGGCCTCCATCTTTGCTTGCAGACCGCGTGGCTGTTTCCACGTTTTGGTTATCACTTTTGCTAGGTGTAAAATGCGTTTTTTAGTAACTACCTCCCATAAGTAGCAACATTTGTGGCATCACTTGCAATGTAGTGACACTTGTTGCAGTAACTACGCCGTATTTGAGTTGAGATGGGGATGTTTCACCCATCTTCAGACCCATCAGTTCCACAATCCTCCCCCACGGAGGTCGCGAATCACCGAACCTCATGGTCAGGTACCACCTTAATCATTCACGTTTCCATTCTAAACGCAAGTACTTTACAATTTCATTTTTCTTGGCAATATTGAGCGTGTAATCTGCCTTCCGTAGCACTGATCCTGGTTACTAACATATTTGCTAGGTGTGAGGCCATAAAATACAGTAGAAAAAAGAACTAAACTTCAGGATTGTGATTGATTGGCTCATCTCGGCGATCCCACCAATGGCTGTGTTAGTGCAGTTTTGCATTCAACTATCATGTACTTTTTTTTCTCAATACAAGTGAAGGTAAACTGTTGTAAGGTGGAAAGAGCATTTTGGCTTGCACATTTGTTGGTACCACTCTGCCATGGCTGGAGTCCTCCAACAGTGCGCGCTGAATTTTAGCATAGGCCGTTGTTTAAACTGCGATCCACATTGCGGATTGTTTGTTCGGGTTATCTTAGGTCCCATTAAAACTAGCACATTAACATGCACCCAGTAAATTGACGCTCTCTACAGCCTTGTTTATGCAGTCCCATCCACCTAGGTATCACCTCTGGCCTCCTTTCAGGTGGGTGCGCACGTGCGTGTGCGTGTGTGAAAAGACCTGAAAAGTGAAGTTTATTTAAGATGGTTAAAATTGGCGAACCGGTCGCCATAATCCGCTACCCTACTGGTGCCCACAACTGTCACTTCTACCATCCAATAGTTGCTTCTCTCTCGTCCTCGACAGACCAATCAGATGACGCTCTGGAGGGCAGTGATTCCACTATTCCTTTTCTGTTCTGTATTCGTGTGTACGCTAGAAAGTTGGGGAGGCAGGGTGGGGACAGCATGATGAATGGGTTGGCGTTGGTAATTGATTCTCCTCCCTCTTTGATAGCACATACTACTTATAACCCATAGGGCTGAGTAGTCAAAAAAATGCGTATTTCGGTTTCCCAACACTTCCTAATCGAGACATTATTATTCCCATCTTCCATTTGGTCGCCTTGCTCACCTCATTTCTCCACCGGATGGTTTGCACCCTCTTACTTAATTGTTAAATCTGCAGATGTGCTGGCAAAGAGTTGCGTGCGTCTGGGAGACTTCTGATGGTGTCATCAACGCCGTGAGGCTGAAAGTGGCTTAGGCGTTTGTGGACCAATGGCATGAGATTACATTCAGCAGGGTTACATCACATTCCGTTGGAGAGTAGGAGGACCTTTCAACTCGTTTACTGCAAATAGAAATAGGATCGCACTCGGTTCTTTCTTTGACATGTGTGTGCCTGAATTTTGTCGTTCCTTGAGTGTCGGAATTACGGTTGCCAATCAGTCGACAATCAAACAGAGCGGTAGTAGCACGAGAGTGGGTCGTACCTGCTTCATTTTCCTCTTGTCCGCGGTGCTTTTTGTAGCTCTAGTTCCGCTAAGCTCAGCGTAGCTTTTTTATTCACCTTTACTACTGTAGAGACTGGTGTGTTGCTTCTGCTGCTGCTTCTTCTTCCGCCTTTTCTCGTCTCTCTTGCCTTTTCTCCGACACACGAGTGCTGGCGCGTAACGTAAGCAAGCAGGCAAGTCAGTCAGCCAGCCAACGCGCTCGCCCGTTCGCACACACACACCCACCCACACACACACACATTCATCATTTCGCCGACGGCGCTACTTTCTACCCTCCTCCCGTCCGTCTCCTCCTCCTCCTCCCTTTTGTCTTTCCTATTCTTTTTCTTGCGTTTCCTTCTTTTCCTGCCTCCCTGCTTGGCGGAAGCATTTTGTCTGTCGCAGTGGCTAGAATGCAAAACGGCCAAGTCTCACTGAAATAGAGATGTCGGTGGGAAAAGTCGTCACACCCTCACCTTGTACATTGGTACACCGAAAAACCTGCCGAGTCGGCGTACTGTCTACTGCCGTCATCGCAACCCGAGACTGGTATCACCTGGGATTTACTTTAAGCTCTTCTGTGAGGCCTAAAAATTGTTCATTGTTGAAAATGCGCAAAGTATCTTCAGTACAGAATGATTTGGCGGTAAAATGGACCGCCTTTGTCAAGGTAACTTTGCTTCATCTCATCCAATGCACAGCTGTCTTTTGTCCTATTCTGCAAGCGCCAACGTTGTTGTTTCCTAGAGATCTGCATTCTCTCTGCTATTTCTTCACATCAGGGAGGATTTTGTTAACCAGGCCTTCAGTATGTAGGTCCAAGAATCATACAGGTCGTGGTTAGGGCTGTGGTCCAGTGAACAAGGAGATTTCAGGTGTTAGGCACAGAACTGCCTTAGTCAAGAACACCAATAGGCGTTCAGCATGTTGCTGTCCATCTTTGATTCTTTAACAAGACTTTTTCATTTTCCTTCCTGTAGAACATCTGAATTGCAATCTCCTGCTCACTTTAGCGTCGTATGAAATGCCATGAAGAGAATTAGCATCTGCTAATCCATTGTGGTGTCTTTGAAGCCTTCCATACGATAGGCGTTTTAGCGCAAAGTGGACTCCAATCCACTCACGAAAGCACAGAAGCACGTACGCACCCAAGCTGTTGCCTGTTACGTTGTCTTGATTAACGCTGTCTGGAATGGCGCAAGTCTGTTTACTGGTTATTACGAGCAGTCAAAGTAGTAATGATGGCGGTGGAACGGATCCGACATTGACTAATACATGATTTGGGGAGGGAGGGGGCATGTCTAGAAAGTTGTCTGGTCCGTATCCCCTTCCTCCGTCATTGGCCAAGTTAGTTTTGGACCCCTTTGAAGTGGTTTGGTTGTCTCATTGGTGCTGCGTTAAGCTTATCACCTTAAGATTAACGCAACTATTGAAGTCGACTCTGTCTGACTTTGAATGTACACCTACGGAAACTCAAGTCGATCTGAGGCCTTTCCTCCTCATTTGACAGCATTTTTGACAAAGATGAGAGCAAATTGAAGTAAACGTTTAGAAAATTCCATTAAATTAATCCAAGGGGTAATCAGAAAAACAATCGGGTGTCTCGTAACTACTATCCACCATCCAGTGTGAAGGGTGTGGGCTCTACGCCTGTCCATTAGGGAAGGGTTGAGATAAGCAGGTCAGGATAAGGGCTTAAATGGGGCACTCAACGGCAGGTGTCCTCATGAAATTACACGCCATCATCGTCACCACCACCACTATCAACAGAAGCAGTAGCGCCAGTGGTGACAGAAGCACTCAGTCTTATCTCTCTCTTTCTCCCTCTCTCTCTCTCTCTGTTCCTCTCCCTCCCCTCACTTCTAACTGTTGATTGGATCTCCTGTGCCCTGTGTTGCGTAATTACTTCCAGTTAATTGTCTAATCATTTGGAAAAGAATTTGGCCGATTTCCCTACTGACAGACCCTCATGGGAGTCAAAAGCGAAGAGACCAATTCAGGCTCTGGGGTTGATGAGTGGCTTTGACCACGGTAGACTTGGTTCGTTGAGCTGAACCGAGAAGTAAAAAGGAATTCAAACCCTCATCCATCCCCCTCAGTTGCTACTGCCGTTTGGGTCACGCGTCTCCCCTTTCTTTCCTTGTCAATCAAAGGTCATTAACACAATTCCTGCCACCATGTCATCTAGCTAATGTTTCTTCCAAGCAGAACACCTACTACCACTCATTTGGCTTTGTTTCACTTTTTATTTTCTTTTCTTCCTTTCAATTGGTCTGTCATGCCCTATGAAATCATTAAGACTTCAAATTGCTGTGCCGATAACGTCTCAGTCATGACACCGGTTAGCATTGCTTTGACACACGCGTGTAATGCGTTGATTTGAGCTTGAAAAGCAAACATAATATTAGTAGCTCTGAAGCACACTTTCCTTTTCAGACAAATAAATAATGTTTCAAATCCCATTTCCGTCTCTTTTAAACGAGCTTTTTTTTTTGAAGTTGTACCACTGTCTCCCCTTTTCTGTCCCATCCCCATCCTCATCCCCTTTCGGTAATGACCCAGCTTTCAGCTAGCCTAGCTTTTGACTCTGTCGCGCCAACTCCTCTCCAAACTTTGATGACTAACGCTAATAAAAACGGTAAAAAGAAAGCAGCGCAGACTTCAGGTCTCCCTTGAAGTGAGCATAAAAGAACATTCACTGCGCCCTTGATGTGCTTTTGACCAGACCTGTTGATGATCCCCTCCTCCAGCCTCGACGACACGCTAGTCTAGGAAGGCTTGAATTCACTTAACATGCATTTTGCCAGAGGAAGTCAAGTCACACGCCTTCCTCCACCCAGACTGCAATGCCTGTCTGCCAGTCTTGGATGCTGATCGGTGCATATGTATAGAGATTTGTTGGAAGAAAATAGGAACAGGCATAATAAAACTGTCTACAATTTGGTTTCTTCGATAAATCTCAACTCCTTCCAGGCTATCCCAGTATAGGAGGAAAAGCGCTCAAAGTGCATTCTAAACAGTCTTTTCCACAAATGGCATTGCAAGATTCAATAAATGGATTGTCTCAAAGCCTTTCCCAAACAAGCGGGTCAACTCAAAGCCCAAAGTCGTTATGTGGTAGAAGTGCTCCGACTCACCACCAGACAGCAAAACAACATCGTTTTATGAGACCGGGCGAGAAAGAGAGGGGCAATTAACTCGAGCAATTTTTCTTCCTCTTTCGTCTCCCTCCACTCTCTCCATCTGCCTCGGTTACTGTCGGTGGGGGGCGCGTAATTTATGCACCCATTAACCGAAATTTCAGATTTTTTTTTTGTTGATGGAGGACTAAGATGTCCGAACGAAGGTGGCAAATCGGAGCGCTTGTCTGCCTTGGATCTCCACCTCTCCCCCTCTCCCCTCCCCCCGACCACCACCATAAAAGTCGTTCCAAAATTCGCCCCGCCTCAGACCGGACATTTATTGTTTGTTGTCTGCACTGCCGGTTTGGCTGACTGGCTCTGTGGTAAAGACTTTGTGTTAAAGAAGGAGTGAATGCCGTTGTCAGCGTTTTGTTAAAAACAACTTTTCCGGTCCGTTGGTTTTATTGTTATTAGAGTGTTTGGGTGGAGTCCATTTGACCGGCCGACAGAGTGAATGACTGGCTTGACAGTAAAACAAGAGACGACAGTGTGAAAGAAGATGGCAGGCGTTCTGACCATCTGATTGGTTGGTTGCTAGAGTGTGGAGTTCTCGTAGCACCTCTTTTAGTGAAAGGTCATCCAAACGTTTCACTACTCTCACATTACACCAATAAGTGGGCGGAGAACCTTATCAGTGTAATCGACCTTCTTGCCTTTTGGCACAGAAAATGGTTACGAAATGATGAGACCTGTGGAAGTTTTGGCGAGTTCATTTCAAAGCCTAGTGACTTGTTACATTCTCTCTGGATTTAGTCGTTCAATGAGTCAGAGTCAAAACGAAGAGGCTCTCCATTTCATTGGCACATGCGCCTTCAGTAGATTTTCATTAATCAATCATATCTCCTTGTTTAGAGAAGTGGATGATATTTCAGTTGTCAGAAGAGATTCAAAGAGTTGGGAGCTGTTAACGTCCCTCTCTTCCTTTCATTTGTCCTCAACACCGCTGTCTAGTCGTCCATCTGGAGTATTCTTGGTTTCAGGAAACAGAGCTATTCAATCTGGTTTATACAATCTTGCTTGAAGCCGTCCTCTTGACCATCCCTTCAGTGGTGATGACAAATTTTCCTCCACGATTCCCTCAATTGAGCAGAATCGACTTCAGTCCGTGGCGTGTGCGTGCGAGCCCAGGCCAGCCCGGCCTGGCGCACTAACCTCAGCTAAATCGCTTAATCAACTTTTGAGGAACAAGGCTCACTGTACGTCTGTACAGTTTTTGCTCTCCTCTATTCTCGCGTCTGTTTATATCGTTGGCCGCTACATGCGTGTGCGTCCGCGTCCGTGTTCTTTCATCCTTGTCTGCATCATTCGTCACCTCGTCTCGTTTGCATGCATCCCGCAATCAAAAAAATGCCGAGAATGCGACGAGAAGAGGTAAGAAAACAAACAATCGAGCCACAATCGCACTGATACTGACTTGAGAAGACAAGTACAACTGCTCTATTGTGCCAATTAGCGGCCATTGCGGATATTTCCGTTTGTCTGTACATTCAGCGTTTTACACATCCAAAAGTCACATGTTTGCCCTCTATTGACGATCATGGCGGATTTATCTCTAACCTTCTCAATCCTCCCATTCTACTGTCCGTAAATGCTGGGTCGGTCTGAGGAAGGTTTGTCCACCCAGATACAACGATTTTGAACTGAAAGATGTCGGTGTGGGCGCTCTTACTTGACACAGATTCCAAAGTGACAAAGAATCTTCCAATGACAAGTCATTCTTTAGCAGAACTGCTTTGTAGGCACGAAAGCTCATTGATGGGACAAATGTATATTTAAATGTAGGGGGGAGCCTGCGGTTACCTTTTATGGCTTTTGCTTCTTAAAATGTGCTCTATTTAACGCCGATTAGAGAGAGGTATCAAGAATTTTACAGACCAATAATCACTCAAGAGACTCCAATTTATTCCTCTCTTAAAGTGACGAGGTGCGCACCAGAATTCATCTCTCATCAATCCGTCACACGACTCGAATGTCGACTAATTACCCCGCCTTCGAGGCATCCATGACTACCACTCCAGCACCCGTCATCAGTTCTGGTGGTGGAGGTGGCGGTGGCGGTGGCAGTGGTGGGTTCGGTCATAAGCACAAGAGGGGCACCAGTTCTTCTCGCAGAACTGCCACCGCGGGCGCTTCGACTGCGACTGCTGGTGTCGCTCCTCCTGCTGCTCCTGGCAAGGTTACGATGATGAGAGACCAAAATATGGCAGAGCTGGATCCTTCTGGCTTTGCTCGACTCCTTAATGAACGTCTTCAACGCGTGGTGGAAGACAGGGCTGCTATGGAACGACTCGAACGGCTCATGTCGGAGGTGGGTCCCGGAGACTATGACATTGACAAAGACATTATCATACAATTTATTGACTTTTTAGTGCTACCCATTAGCCACATATCAAAGAATTGTTGCGAGCTCATTTACTCATCAGATGATGCTACAATTCATGGGGGATATGAGAAAAATGGTTCTTTTAAGTTTCTGAGATGTTCCAGCAGTGCTTTCCATGGAGCCCTCAGGACTTATATGCTTGCATAAGCTTAACGCGGCTTTGATATGTCTTCCATCGCGAGACCGCATGAACGCATCCTTCCTTATCTGATCACAAGGTGTGGTATCCATGATAGGTAATCGTTGTCGGTAGTGTCTCCATGGCACAGGGCTGCTTACCTCCCAATCAGGTCACCGTAAATAAGAGCTGGACGACTAGGAGAGTGTGGATTTTTTGCTTTATACTTAATGCAAACGTTTCATCTGTAACCCTTTAAAACCCAAAGAATTGTCGAGGTCATGAGACTACTCTGTCTAGGCGTCTCAATCTTTTATTGGCGGTTGAGTTCGAATCCCTCACTTCTGATTGGTTCTACTCTTTAGCCAAATCATCCAATTATAGCGTGAATTCTGAATAAAATCAGTAATTATGTGTGTATGAGGAACAAAGGACGTGCCAAGGCATGGTGATGGGGCTTACGGGGGATGGAATGATGTACTTGTAGTAGCTTATCTCCAACGTCTGGGTTATTCCGAATGTCAGTTAGTCACTAATACGAGGGTTGATTGACATGCTATCCGCGTGAGGGGTAGACTGGACGAGGTGATGTGGCCGTGGGTCTTTGTTTAAAAGTGGAGGACTGAGCAGACTTTTCATGTTCGCTATTTGTCGCTGCAACCGGATGCTACGCATTAGTGGACATGACAAAGGTGGGACGAGGACAGTTTGACCATGACAGGGTGCGTTTACTTCCCGCTATAAACCCCCGAGATGCCATATTCTTCGCCTAATTTGGATTTGCATGCTATCCTCAATGAGAAAACCCACGACTCCTTTACTGGCGGAGACTAACTCTCCCACTTGAAGGAAATCTTTTTGAATAGCGATCCGCCACTGAGTTGGAGGCCTACCTTGAGCTGTTACTTCACTCTTCACTTTTGTCGTTGTTTCAGGTGATCCTCCAACCTTATGCTCTTTGGTAATTCGATATTTGATACTGAGATCCCGAAATGTAGGGAGGTCGCCCCACCCTAGCCTCATAAAAGGGTCAACTGCCATGTAAGAGTTTTCTCTCCCAGAATCCCAAAGAGAAGGAAGTTAAATAAACTCTATTCTGTGAGCCTTTATTAGGCTACTCAGTTTTGTGGGACTAGTTTCCGTTGTGCTGATAGCGACTGTATCGACTTCTCTGAATCTTGTTGCAGTTGATTTCGGTGTATAAATTGATGGAGGCCTCGTGAAGGTCAGGTCAAAAGATTGTGTTTCATAGGTAGCGCATCTCGTATGTCGATCGCATATGAAAGCAAGTTCGAGTAGCATGAGATGCATTTTCCTTCTCTCCATTTTTTGGCCATCTGAATGCTGTCCAAGTCGTCTGCTGAGGTGACTCAGCCTCTTCTGGAGGATGCACATGTTCACTCACCAGTTTTTGCCCCTTAAAGGTGCTGAACCGTCGAGTCCCTTGGTGGTGATTTCTCGTTCATCTGTGGCATGTCAGATTGTCAGCGTTGAGTGTGTATGCACTCCGAATTCGTCTGCTTTCAGGTTGTGCACTTTACTCGTCTCCCACCGATCATTTGACACGTGGCTGGCTCATTTTTGAAGAAACGCAGAACCTTCTCACCTAACCTTCGGAGTTGACTGGGTTTGTTTCAACCAGTTTTCTCCATCTACTCGAAATGCTTCATGACTAATAACCCAGCCCTGATCGTTCAACCTTTGCCCCGTAGTTTCCCAGTTTGATTTGCCTTCGGAATTAGTCACAGTGGCACCTCGTGTGTGCGTCTCCAGTCGATAGCCTCTCGTTGGTTGGTTGGTCAGTTCTCCTGACAGTTAGCACGAGCGAAACACCGAGAGAGCGCGAGAGAGAGGGAGTGAAAGATGGGGATTTACAGTTCCGTTTTGCCTCTCAGTGTGTGTGCGAAACGGAATACCTATTTTTGGCACTCGAAACGCACCAAGGCCTGCCATGCGCTATCTCTTCAGGCCTCTCTCGCCACAAGTAACACTTGTGATTTTTCCCTCATTCCCTCCATAAAGCTAGAGTCACAGATTTAGCGTCACTCACTCACCCAAGTGGAAGGCGTTGGATGAATCCTTTGGCTAGCGAATAGTACCACCCATTTTCTGCCGAGTCGCCTTGATGCTCATAACATGTTGAAGCGCCAGTCCGCCATACGGTCGCCAAAGCACCAACAAGTGCTTATGTGGAGCGCTGAAAACTGGAAGTAGTTACGGTGAGTCCGAAATTACGAGTTTGCTGGTTGCCTTAGTGTCGCTCTTCGAGTGGAGACAAGAGGAACTTCTCACACTGTCGCCTATGCTGTGCCTACAAGAACCATTTTTTGCTATATTGGAAGTGTGGAACATAAAGTTGGGGGTGCTCAATGATGTCAACCTGCTCTCAGCAATTCTTTGTCTTGGATCACAGCTGTTTGAGACATTGGAATCCCCCGCTGTCCATCATTGTGGTAGGTAAATCATAAAATAATAAAACCCCTATATAACGTCCACCTGCTTTATTAGCATTACCTTTTTTCTGCTACTCAAAAGCCGTCATGTCATTTTCCTCACCACACTCCCAACACCAGAGCGGTCTCCCTCCTCAATCAATAGTCGCAATTCACACATCACACCCCCCCCCTTGTTGTTATCCCCTTATTCATTTGACGGTTACGGTGGAAATAGGCGAGAGGGTAAAGGAGGAGAGACTGGACTGGGGTGGTATTTTGACAGCCTCACGTTGGTCGGATGACATTCGAGTGACCGTTATAGCTTGTATCAGACATGAGGCGAGGACGGAAGGGGGAAGATAGGCGGAGCACAGCGAACCCTTATTCTCGCCTTGCACCGCCTTCCCTCTCCCCTCCCCCCGCTCTCATCTTGATCGTCCCAAGCCTGCTCAGATTGCATGACAGGCCGAAAAGGCGATTGGTCCACACACACCAAGCAGCGAGAACATGGGATGAGGCGGAGTGGAAGGAGGGAGAGGAGAAGGGGAGGGTGGAGCTAGTACCCTGTCTCTTCTCTTTCCACCTCCTCTCCTCCTGCTACTGCTTTCCGTTTTCAGACAGGTATTGTGTCAGTGGGTAGGCAGGAGTACTCATGAGAGGCAGTGGGTGTGATCGCTTTCAGGTGTGCATCCTTTCGATTTTAATGTCGACTTTTAAAAACATGAATCCACCTTCTCACCACTTCATCCCTCCACTTATTAACCAGGTCGGAAATGACGAGGAAGGCGAAGAAACTACAGAGATTCCCAACACGGGTCAAGAGAAAGAGGCCCCAACAAAGACCACGGAAGCTGTGAAGGTCGAACCAAAAACAGAGACAGAGGTGCCTTCAACTATGAAGACGCAACAATCCCAGTCTTTGCCGGCCGCTACAGAGAGTGGTGATTGCACCATTACCAAGGCAATGGCCAATCTGAGTGTTGCTTCGACATCGTCTACAACAACAACTACCACTACTACTACGACGTCGACTACAACGACTACCACAGCTTCATCGAAACCCTCAGTTCTTCAACGACCTTGGGCAGATCGCCTATTGGCTGCTGCGAGGGTTCAGCATGCACAACAGGGAGACAACGCTCAGGTTGGTGTTGTGGCACTTACAGGCATCAGATAGCGATTGGTAAAATGAAATACTAAATCTTTTCCAGAAGTTTCCATAAAATAACTGCCTTTGCTTTGATGATGAGAAATGGTAAGAATCACTTAATTCCCCTTAAGTCCCAAGTTTATTTGCCCTTGCGCTTCATCACAACCTCATTGTAAGGACAAATTGTTCACATACGTGTTCGTACAAACTTTGGGCTTTTTATCTTTTGAACCCTTCGAAACCTTTGTTTGACTGAAGAGGGGAATAAGTTTGTGCGACCAAGTGTTCCACAAACAAGGAAAGCGGGATAATTTTTTCGGGGACGACAGGACATCATCAATTTGTCTGTGTGTTCGTGCAAAATCACGCCAGAGTCGTGCCAACTCCCAGGGAGGGCACAAAATACAGACGTCTAAAGCCTTGTCGTGCCTGAGTCATCTCTCTGAATGTTGCACAAGATTTGGTGGGTCTGGAAGAAGCTTTGTGAAGAAACTCAAGTTCTGACGACTGAAATTCCCGACACAGGCATCTGTGTTTTAGTCTCGCCTACCATCATAGCCAACATTAGTGGATGAAGATGATTAAGAGTTGAATTTCTTGCTCCTTAGGTGTTCAAATTGGAGCACTCTGTGGACAACCAATCAGAATTCAGGAGTGAATTTACCTAGCAAATCAAGAATTGGAGAACATTTGAAGGTTGATTCACGTCAATAAAGCTGTTTAGTTATCATCCAATGAGTTATCAGGCCTAAGCGCTCCTTTTCAATCAGGTTAAATAGGCTGTCACGTCTATTGGATGTCGGAGGCGCTTCACTCTTCCTTTGCCCAATCTTGTGGGCCAACTAGGTGTGGAAGGGTACGCCTTAAAGCAGGAGGACCAGAGAACGACAGAGGAGGCCCTTGTCATTACAACCTTAACCAATGCATCGAATAAACTGTCGCGTGAATAAACGCGTTTTCCAGGAGCTCGGACGTCGTCGTGTCAACGTTCTCACGCTGGCGGCGAGTAGTGTGTGATTAATGTCTTCTGCTGTTCTCATGCATGAAAGGGCTTTTCACATACACACGCGTACTGGATGTGCGTGTGTTCAAACGAGTATGATTGAAGTTTCGTCTGCCGACGAATTAGCTGCACCTTCGTCTTCGTCGTCGGCCTCCTCCACGTCCTCCTGCTTGGTCAGAATTAAGGTCACCTATTGTGCAGTTCCTTGCAATGCCTGACGGTGAATGGTGGTGAATCATTCCTGTTTGATGGTTTGACCAATGCAATGAGTGGAGAGGTTAGATTTTGCCTCATCAGGCCTCGCAGAAGGTGGTTAGAGGAAGTCAAAAATTACTTATTTGTGCAATGAGGTTCCTTGCACCGCGAGAGGTGCAAATGCCGGCATTTGGTAAGATGCTGGAATTCTCTTACACAAGTCTTTTCCTTTTTTCACCAAGGCTATTCTTGAGGACCACTGTTCTCGCATCTGGGACACGTCAGCCGATCGGACACCAACAAGTAGTAGTGGTAGTGGAGGCGATGGTCTTGGTGTATCCGCCTTACGACCTCGTCTGGATGCTCCTGGAAAGTCACCCGCACCGATTGTAGGGACAGCAAAGCAGGCTACAAAGAGGAGAGAGGAGGAGGAGGTGGACGATGATTGTATCCACCCTCCACTGCTTCAGGAGTCCTCCTCTCCACCCAGTGCCACCACAACTACAACTACTAATTCTTCTACACGTTTCGACTTCCACCAGCAGGTCAATGAGAGCCAACTAGTTGATGTCACCTCGATGCGACTACAAGCACGGTGAGTACCTCCATCCCACTGCCTGTACTAAAAGGGCGAGAGGAGGACGTGGCACTGATCAATGCTGGTCCAACCTAAACGTCTTCTTCCTTCTCGCCAACACCGAGAAGTGGACTGAAACAGAGAGACAGAAGAAGTGGCGCATCAAGTAGAAACTCCTTAATGTCTCGATAATCCAGTACTATCACAGAAGCTGCTTTTGATGCGGAGTTGTGGCACTGTGGGGAAAGGAGAATTTTGCGTTTCTCTCAAAGCTCCAGGCGGGGTTAGAGAGTGTCCTCATCCATTTCACTTATCCAACAAAGAATAAATGAAGAAGAAGATGTGAAATCACCCTCTCACGCATAATTTTTTTCCCTTTCTCCTAAAAAAAAGATTTGTTAAGTTTTGTTTGGTAGGTTGTTTTATTTTTTGCCTGCTTCTCATAGGACAGCTTAACCTGAGGATAAGGCGAAGTCGTTGGGATGATATTGACTGACATGATTGACGGGAAGGAAGACGGACATGATTTTATCGTAGACCACCCGGCATCATAAAAGTTATTGTCTTCCTGATTCTCTTAGATAGTTTAGAAAAAATAATAATAATTTAATTAGGGAAGTTGTCTTGGGATTTGGGAACTTTTTGCTTCAGAACCTGAAAATCCGTCTAAGTCTCTAATACTCGTTGTATTTTGACCTTACACAAACTTAATTTGTGTCACACATGGTTGGTGTGGGACAGGACTTGAGCATTGGATCATGAGACCTTGCTGGATGGAAGTGAATGCAAAAAGAGAATGGAAGCTTCCCAGTTTATTAGTCTGCGAGCTCAGTATGGATTGATAGTCGTCTGAGGTTGAGCCTCGTTGTGATGGATGACATACTACCATGCCATCGACCATGAAGAAGTCCTGGTTTTTAAATTGACTCCTTTCATTCCTCCTTCAGGTGCACCTCATCACCAGCGGCATCTTCAACTGCTACTGGCGGCGGCGGCGGTGGTGGTGGTGGCGGCGGCAGTGTAGGTTCTGGAGGTGGCAGTGGTGGACTGGTTGTTGGTTACTACCTTTGCGATGATCCAGTTCCCTATCGCAGTCAATGGCCATCAAATGTTATCACTCTGGGACAATTCAAACATCTCGTTCCCAAGAAGGGTCTTTTCCGGTGAGTTGCTAGCCCTTGAATTCCCCACCCATCCAAAGTCCACCTCAGTGATTTGTCTACTTGTGTGTCTGGACCCTGAACTTTAGACTTACAGAATAGAGAAGGCGGATGGACTGGCTTCTGCTCTGATTTTTTTTTGTGCGAGCGGGGATGGGATGCTTACCTTTCTCCTCCTCCCCCTCCCCCTCCTCCTCCTCCTCCACCTAAGATTGATGTGTCATTGTTTTTCTCTTCCCCTTAACAAAGGAGGAAAGTTAGTTCACTGGGAAGAGGTAGGATGCTTTTGTTATTTGCGTGTTCATCCACCTCCTTTTGTTCATTTTTTCGTTTGACTTGGATTGGTGGTCTGCCTTTTTTATTCACTGAGGCAGAGAGGAATAATAATTGAAATTTTGGAGGAGGAGGAGGAGGAGGAGGAGGACAATAACACAGGATCGCGTTTAATTGACGTTTAACTTCCCCTTTCCATCCCTTCCTATCTCCTGCCTGAAGGGAAGAAGAGCAGCAGTAGCAGCAAAAAGTGGAAAACAACTGTTGTGAGTGCTTTCAGCGGCTGAGAGAAAAAAAGAAAGCGTGAATTGGCATAACAGTGTATCTCAAGTTAAAAAAAGTTGTCGGAGGATGTCTAGAAAACCCACTTTTTCGTTTTGACAATTGTCAATTTAGAGTGCTGTCAAAACCTGTCATCATGCAAGGTGATTGATCTTCTCTCCTCTCATCGCCTTGATGAGACGTATAGAATTGTTATGGGTGAAAAAAGCATCCAAATGAATTGTAACAACGGAATGAGAGAAATAAGACAAGACTGGATCCGTGAGAATTTGAGAATGGAGAAAACCAAATGTCCTTCAATCACATTGTATGCGGAAACAAAGGAGGCACATTGAAAATGGTTTAGTCAAATCGGATTGGTCGACTCCAGGACAATGTAAACTAGAGGAGGGTGATATTTTCAATCATCCTGTAACATATGAGTTGACCAAATTCAAGTGGTGAAACATTGGTTTTAATTGAGGGAGGCACACTTCGTCAAGTCGTTATACAGTGACGAAATAAGAGGGTAATCGTCACGATCATATCTGTCAGTGACAAATAATAGACTTTCCTGCACCGTTGATCACCTCTTTTGCAGAAAAGCATCGAGCGATTGAGGGACAACATTGAAGTGTTATCTGATTGGTTTCACGGGTACGTATCGACTCCAGTCCCGTCGTATTGATTGGTTGAAAATGAATGTGTGTCGAACCAATTAAAATTTAGGATGTAATGTTGATCCACATACGCCAAAATATAATATTTTGCAGAGGAAAATTTGCCGATTGTAGTTTGATTGAGTTGATTTTGGGGACATAAACAGTGTAGGTTTATCTGTTAGTGTTTAGATACTCTAAAGAATGAATTTTGTCGAAGTGACTTGAACTGAATCCCCTCAAACCACTGGGAACGTCGAATGGATAATAACTTAAAAGAATTGGTTAATTGCCAACAAATTTCTCCTCATCGTTCCATTTTGTCATCCTTCTTAAAGACCCAAGGAACACTGATGTAACTTTCATCCTCTAAACCTACCTATTGGTTCAACTGTCACATTCTGCTTTCCTATTGCAATGGGATGCACAGTGTGCTTTAATAGCTAGCAAGTTCCAAGTCCTATGCAGGGGAACAACCTTTATTCAGTTGCAAAACCTCATATCTATTTTACTCACAATTCTGCGAATTTGGCTATATGATTGGGCTCCTTCACCTGTTCCAGTGCGAATCCAGGCATATTCCACCAATCGGTCAAAACCATAGCATTGAAATTACTCTGCACAAAGCTCATAAAGGGTCTCAGCTTGGCGATCGTTACAATACACAACAAATCATTGACATGATATTTTGTTGGCACTGTATCGAAGGCGCTGACGAAGCGTTGCACTTGGGTGAAAGCAATTAACAATCAGTTTACTAACACTCTTCCACTGCAGTAGGCGGGCAGAGCAACAAAATATATAGTCCCAAGCAAGGTTTTATGGTCATGATTTCTCTCCCTTTACTATCCAGATCACCACCACCAACTCCCGCCTCCCCACCTATTTTCCAATTTTTAAGCTTGACAACAGTTTCGGCTGTCAAAACACTCATTCACCACGCGAGGAGGTACAAACGATGACAGGAGCCGCGGCAGCAGCAGTAGTAGCATCATCATCGCTATCCTCGTCGGTGTTTGTGTCAATTTGCCGACACGTGAAAATGGCGGAAGCGATAGTAGCGCTAGTGGCGGTGTGTGTGTGTGAGAGAGCGAGAAGGACTGACAGCGACGTGATTACCGCCGTCGCTGTTACCGAAATCGGGTCCTCCTAACAGGATCACTTTCGAAGGGAAAAAGAACGACATGTGACTGATATGTGTACCTTCTATTTCCCGTTGGCGAAAAGGGTAGAAGAATGTTGGAGTTTTCTGGTGCCAAAAGTGTTGCCTGTTGGAATATTGGCATGGAGGATGCTGCTGTTACTGATCCTCAGAAAATCCACAGTCATTTTCAAATCTCGTGATCCTGCGCTCTTGAGTAGAAAGCAGGAAACTGCAAGACGGAGAAAGGGGAGCAAGAATGGGCGGTCATCATAAGTGGTTGGACGTGTGCAAGCTACGACGACAGCCACCGGCGGTGGCGGCAGCGGCAGCGGTAGCGGCGAATTTTAGACCACCATTCACATACACCGACACACATATGACAACGCACCGACTCTTGCGACGGGACAGGAGCTGGAGAAGGAGGGAGAGGGAAAGAATTGAACCGTTAGCTTTTGTTAGTAAGGGCAAAAAATGCTGTTCATTCGATAGGCAATGTCCAATTTATTCTCGTGTTAGGGGGGAGAGGTTGGCATGCGTTTGGCTTATCATCGTGCCTTGAAATGGTATGGAAGGTGATTTCGTGAGCCACACGTTTGCCCCTGTCATACCGTTTTGAGAATGCAGGTAGATTCATTCATGAAGGGATTAGTCTTCTCGTTGTCTGGAGGAATGTTGTCTCATCCCGAAACTAAAGAGCAGAGTTCGAAAACGACGGTTTCTTTCCGTTGTTCCACACTCTGATTGGGTAGATCAGATGGATTTTCTTGATGAATTAATTCCAATAATTAGCATATGAATAGCCGAATGCAGATCCTCCTTATACTTGGCCTCAGGGAATTCACCAAAACCTTTTCTTTTTTCCCATTCAAATCGATTCATACATACTGACGCGCCTATTTCTTTTCCTCCTTTTCGCCTGCAAAAGCATTGACATTTCTTGAGACAAAAAGTGTGTGTGTGTGTGTGTGTGTGCATGAGAGAGAGCAAAAGGTAGACAGACAGATAAACAAATACAAGGAGTGAAGCAGTGAAAGGAAGAAGGAGAGGAAGAGCAAACGTGACAGCAGCTTGACGTTACCCACAAAAACGCAGACACGTAATCTCCTTTTCCTCTCTTCTTCGCTCTTCTCACCCTACTCCACCATCCCCACCTCCTAGCCCCGCCTCTGTGACAGCAGTAGATTGCGATTCCAAGGTAGGACGCACGCACGCACGCACGCACGCACGCACCGACCCGTGATGACTGGCAATTTCTGTTTCGGTACGTTGACATTTTACCGCGTCGGTGCGGTGCGGCACGGTGCCGTATCGTGACAAGCTTTGCTGCTGCTACTGCTGCTACGGCTTGGGTCGTTCAAGTCAAATGGGGACCTTACTTTTATACGATTAAAAAAGGCAAGCCACTAATTTCCGCCACACATCTTGCAGGTCACTCCATTACCGAATACTGGGCGTTGGACGCACGAAACACTGGGTGATTGCATTGTTTCTTATCAGTGAGGTGTTAAGGTTTCACACTTTTTCCACTTGTTTCATCATTTCGTTCTTTTTGCTCTTGTGCACAGATTCTTTTTCAAGACCACCTCTGATGAGTTTGACTCTGGAGTGGTGCATCAGGAGATCTCCAATGATGATGCTGTTCTGCCTCTGTGGGAGGGCAAAGTAGTCGCCAAGGTGGAGCGTGTGGAACAGTAGACGTTGACACCACCGTTTGTGTGTGATCGTTGACGTTGGCAATGGCATACAGGGTACTCAACTCACTTCCTTCACTCCTTTCCCCCATCCAATTACCAGTAGTCTCGGCTCTCTCGCCTCCATCCCCTTCTATCCTGTCATCTGTGTAATTCTTTGGTCCTCATCACCACCCCTCGACCTCTCCTAATTTTACGAAAGTTATTGAAAATGAGCTTTTTATTATTCCTAATCAAAGGCGTCTTTTGCTTGACGGTGGTGCTACTCTGCGGGGACTACTGATAGCAGGGGAATGGCATAAGTGAAGTCGATCAACAGAAGACTGAAGCAGCTGATTTGCTAGTTGGGAGGAGGATGAAAAGGCAGAAGAGAGGAATTTCTATCCTCCTGTGTGGTCACATTTACGCATAAACTGTTCCCTACGAACTTGTGGCCTCTAACGCTTCTGTTGAGTGAAGAGAAGGAATGAGGGAATCCACTTGGTTGAAGAAGTTTTCATGAGGGGCGCGTTTCTTGCTCGTCTAGGAGGAGGAGGAGGAGGAGGAGGAGGAGCGCATGATGAATGGTCAAGAATAAAGTGCTTCGTGTTTTTCGCCTCTTCCTCGTCTCTGTGTCTTTTTACCTGTTCGGACCTGTGTCCGGATTAAGCCCAACTTCCTGCAACCTACAGAGGCAGTGGGAGTGTGCTGTTTGTGAACCTCACATCTCACTCTTCACAATACGTCATGTAGAAATTGAGTGAAAGTTGCTAGACTCCTCTCCTCCAAGACTCTATCCACCTTCGACTTTTACTCGGTGTCAAAGATGTGGCAAGAGATCGTCTGCCTCATGTCGTCCGGCATGAAGGTGTACGATGGTGAGTTGTGTCGTCTCGGATCAGATGCCTCATTGCTGGTGGCGTGTCAGTCAACGAGTCCCAAGAAGCGCCACTTGTTGAGCAGAGTAGTCGTAGATGGAGGACAAGATGCGCTGAAGTTTATTTATCTGTTTCTAGGACGTACAACTTGGTGAACTTCAAGGTACAGCTACGAGGGAAGAAAGCGCCTAACGTAAAACAATCTCATGATCGTACCTCGAAAGAGAAAGGAGGTTGGATAAGGTAGTGAGTAGGTCTGCTGCGGTAAGACATGAAGAAATGCTTGGGCATAACTCTTTTGATAGAGCTCTACAGAGGATGCGATCCTCTTCAACTTCATGGAGTGCACCTTGAAGCAAAAATTAGCTTTATGTATGTTATAAACTTCCAACAATATGAAGAGACGAAGAAGTAAGGCAAGACCCTGTGGAATAAGACGCTTTGGTCTAATCGACGAGCTGCCATCAACACATCCTCAGTGACGGTCACTAGTCACAGAGTGAAAGCTCCCAAATTCATGGAAAGGTCGTTCTCTACCGATCATTTTCACGAAAGAGCAAATTCTCACCAGTCTGCAACTATTTGGGACTCGGCGGCTCATTGGGAAGGGGATGTGCTGCAAGGATGGCAGTTCGGACTTAATAAAAAAGTACTTTTGAACCAACAGGGGTGCACCCCAACTACAGCTCTGTGAAACTATGGCCAGTCCTTTTATAAGATGTACTTTATCCTCTCAACTGCTCCATATTTAATGCGGCAATAGCAACAGCTCCACGCGGATCATAATCGGTGTTGGTGGAGATAAAGGAACAGAAAGAGAAAGAGGAAGAGGGAAGGCCGATTGTAGAGAGGCAAAAGATAAGTAAAAACCTACAGACCCACCAATCTAATTGCCGACAATCGGTTGGTAATTAGAAGGCTGCACAAGCGCATACCGCCATCGACGTTGTAATCCGCTCCATGAGGAGCCTCTGGTGGTGGCCAGTTCTACTCACTAGGCAAAGAGAGAGAGAGGGAGAGGGAGAGGGAGTGAGAGAGAGAATGAGCGAAATGTAGAGGCGGCACTAGTGTATCCTCGTCCTCTCGCCCTTCCTCTGCCACCCCTTCCACCCCTAATTTCACCGTCTTCATTTTCATTGTTTGTCGTTTGCCTTTCGCCCATGCCAAGAGGGTCGGCAACGGCAGCGGCAGCGGCGGCAGCGGCAGCGGCAGCGGCAGTTCGGGTTTTCAAAGCCGACGTGGCCGTAAGCCGCTGCTTTTTCCGCGAGTTAGGGGAGGATGAAAGCAACAAGGCCAGAATTAGCATTTAATTGCCTGTTTCAATTTACGGTTTTAGGAGGAGAAATAATGAGGAAAGTTAATTAAAAAAGGAGAAATCAACTCAAAAAGGAAAAATTGAAATTAGTGGGTAGCACAAATAAAACAGCTATAGAAGAACATTTTATAAAAAATTTGTGGAAATGGATGGTATTATTAGAAGACACTAAAGAAGATTGGACCGATAGTGTCATCTTTGAAGATGATATTGCATTATGGATTGGGGAATGCATAATTAATCCGTCCATCACCTCCTTTGGCGGTTGAGAAGCCCCTCCTTCATACACGCACACACACATACAAGCAACGGGCAACCTCTCAGTCAGTCCACTTTAAGGACAACTTTGCTCGGAGATGGAGCCGACAACAGAGGAGGGAACCACTGCTGCCTATGCTCTGAAGACTGTGGCTCAATTCACTTCGGCTCACTCCTTTCCAAGCTGCAGTGCCACTTGGAGTCACGAAAGGCACCAATAAAACGACCATCAAAGTCATCGAGTTCAACATCCACCTCCCTTCCTTCCCCCCTCCCCTCCCCTCTCCTCGCCTCCCCCTTCCTCCCATCCCCTCCTCTCCATTCCCCTTCCCACCCACCCACTCACTCACTCACTCACTCACTCAGCGCCACTGACCAACCTCAAAGTGAACCAGTAAGTTGGGAGCAAGGATATCATAAAATCCTGTCCCCACCTCCTCTCTCCTGTGTCTCCCTTGCCCACTCGATGAATCGTCCATTTCAGATATCGGTTTGGTCATTTTCGCGGTCCCATAAATCGTTGTGTCTGAAAAGAGTTGGCCATTTATGTGAATCCACATGCGCCCCTCCCTCTCGTCTCTCCTTTAAATTGCAGAGTGAGATTAGAGAGAAGGAGAAAGAAAAGGCATGCCATTGAAATCATTTGTCTCATTCTCTGCTCTTCTACACATTGGCAAGTGTTACTTCCAAGACGTGCGGAAGTCAGATGAGATAAGACGAAGCGGTACAACCTAGTAAAGACTTTGTAGGGAAGAGAAAGGATGGACAAGTTCCCCGACTACCAAATGAGAAGATTATGCAGTATGACCCCGTTATGGGCGAGGAGGCGCATCTTAACCCCCATTCTCACATCCTCGATCTGCTGATAAAAATGGATTGGGGAATAAAAGGGATCAACAAGACCAGTGGCAGGAGGTAGGAGATCCACAATGTGAGGAGAGGGTGATGGATAGATCTAGGTTGAGGTTGGGAAAGAGGCTACACTTGTGTAGTTTCGTGGTTTCCTTAAACCCGCCCGCCTCCTATTTGAGAAGAGGAGGAGGAGGAGGAGGAGGAGAAGAGGTTCTTATGCTTTCAGTTGAGAATCCAAGATGCCATCATCACGTCCACATCAACGAATCGCACTTAGTGATGCGCAACGCTGTTCTTAACCGCTTCTACTTTTCTCACAGACTAATGCCATTTGAGGGGAGACAAAGAAAAGAAATAAAAAAAGGGACTATTCTTCTTCTTCTTCTCCTCCACCGCCTCCTCATCATCATCACCGCTACCGCTAGGGACGACTAATTCTGATGTGTTATGGGAGGCTGGACAAAGGAGGTGACAACAAGAGGTAAAAATGTTTTCGGGCAACCTTTGAAGAGTACCTGCCGCGCCTTTTTTTCCACTTTCCACTATCCCACGCTCCCTCATTTTTGCTTTGTGCTCTTCTTTCGCTTTCATTCTCCTTTACACTGCGGTGTGCAGCCATGAGAGTGATTTGGTTGCTCCATCTTATCTCCTCTTTGCTCCTCATCTCCTTTCCGTCCTTTTCTTTCCCCTTGCCTCTATTCACGCCTGCAGTCAAAGGACTGAATTTTAAGGAGAACATCCAGAAAAATTGTGCATTGGTGCATAATCGAGAGGAAAGTTGTTGATGAGTCCTAAAGTGACGCCATCAAAGACTGACCAACCGCATTCGCATTATACTGGAAGTGAAGTTCTCCCCTTTTTTCCCCATTAATGATGTCCTCCTCGATCACAGAAATAAAAGTGACGATAGAAGTTGAATTGTGTCGGTGTTTGGGTGTCGTACACTGCACGCATTCCCATCTAACAGTAGAATGCTTGTCTTTGCATAAACAGAGTGACAGGACCGACAAACTGTTTGACCCATCGCAAACCAATGCGTCACATGGATTGACAATGAGAGGACCAAAGAGGAGGAGAGAAGGAAAAAGAGCGGAAGCTGAGGTGGTGGAAACAAATTGTGTCCCTTGAGACGTGCAATGAGGCAAAGTATCAAGTCTGTTTGAAATGCTGTCAGTAAAGTGGCGCGACTTTCTACTTTATGGCGACATGTGGAAGGAAAACCCAAGAAAAGGGTGATTTTATGGCCCATATTTCTTTAAATCTCGTGACTACAAGTAGCATCAGTGGCACCACATTAATGTTCAGCAAGACACAGTCTCATCGTGACACTTTTATCGCAGAAATTGCAATTGTCATGCAGCGAAGACATTTGTGATGTGTCCGACCGCCTTTGTCTCGCCTTCTTCCTCCTCCGATGACAGAGTTGAAACAGACGGTAAAACAAATTTCTTTTAATGTATCATTATAAGGTGGATATTTTTTGCGTGTGTGTAAACTAATTTCCCTTCCTCAACATAAGTTGATGAATTTCAATTCCATCTGAATTTGTGGGAAAACAAATCAAACCTTGACAGTTAGCGGACTATCAAAAGCTAAAAGCACCCAATCCCAAGTCTGAATGATGGGTATATGCCTTAAGGACCTTTTGTCACTGCATCACAACATCCCTTTCACTGGACGAAAAAGTGATGTCGATGTGACGGGGCAACAAGAGCCTCCTTACTGTCTTTTTTTTTTTAAATGAAAGGGTCTAATTGTTTAGTTGCCAAAGCGTCTCTGTGACAGACTCGATGGTGATGCGGTTACGAAGAAGGTGGAAGAGGCAAATGAGAAATCACAGACAGCTTTGGAGCCTTCATTTTCGTAAACTCCTTCCTTCCCACCTCTGTAAAATCTAGAGGCTTCAATCCTCCGGTAAGAGCAAAAATAGAAGAAGGCAAACATGCGTCAAACAGTTGTGAAGACTTACTTATATGTGTCCTTTCACCTGCGAAGAAAAAAAAAACAAGCTTCTATCCGGATGTAGTTTCATGAACTTCAATCATTGTCACCAAAATGCGGTTGTCTGAGCCCCTTTCGATGGGCTTCACATTGCTCTAACCTTATGACTAATTTTTAGGCCCCTGCATACTTATTATCAATTAAGTAGCATGAACCATTCCATCAAAAAAATTATAAATGATATTCAATTCGGCTTTAATAATGATTTCCCTTCATTTCCTCACTATAAAAGCACAATTTCTTGTCTTCTAACTCATGTTATCCTTCCACACAAGCTTAATTTACGCATTGAGTAGCTGAGGTCACAATAACTCCCAAGCCCATATATGAGAACATTTTTCCTTTACATAGGAATATTTTTCCTCAATTATGGAAATACGTTAAAATGAAACAAAAACACCACCTTATATGGCACTAAAAGAATTGGCTGTGATCATTGATGAATAAGTTGGAGAGAAAAAGTCTATTTGCGAAAAGACGTGGATGCTGCCTTGGGAATCAACTAAAAAGGTAGAAGACCCGTACCCATCCAAAGGCAGGCAAATTAAGGTTGTACGCACGAATTAGAGGCCAGACCACCCCACGAAGGCAAAGTGGCCACCTAAGTGACGGAGACCACAACTCGTAGGCATGAAAAGACCCAATTTTTAAAACAGGTCCACCTGGGTTTCACATAATTGTCCAACTTTTAGCCGTCTATTCTCCACACCGTCGGAAATGAGCCTCTCGGCCTCTTCACGCCAATTTGAAGTCCCCCTTGAGGAAGGATTTAAACTAACACAATTTTAAAGGATAAATTGTCTAAATTTTACTTCTGCCAGTAAATTTAGCTTCTAATGAAGTAAAGCATTAAGCGGATTGTTTTTTTGCAAGTGTTGCCATTGTTTAAAAAAGCTAAAAGGCAAACAAGCTCAGTAAGGTCCTTCAGGTGGTCTCCCATCTCCCTTTTGTACCCCGCTGAAATAAAGTTGCCCTCATTTTTGCACAGAACTAGTGAGTGAGAAATGGCGGGCAGCAGGGACGAAGGGAGGGGGGAGGTGGCGGAGAGAGGGGGACAGGGCGACGGTACAATTGTCATTGTCAGTGTCCCCTTCCCCCTTCCCAAAGGGACACAGTGATAGCGCAGATCTCAGACGGCAGATAATTGCCTTGCCCCGTGAACAATCAAAGGGTATGCAATAGATTAAACACGAAGTGGGAAAAACAAACACTTTAATATAATTTTAGCAAGTAGCTATTTTTGTAAATTCATCAGTCAAACATCTGGAGTGGTGTGCGGGGTCGGATCGGGGGTGGGAGAGGCGGGGGAAAGGGGAGTGCAGGCAGCAGTGGGACAGGGTGGGGAGAGAGCGCAGTGACGCCAACAGACGAGGATGTATCAGTTGACACTATTTTATTAAAATTTTCCACTTTTCACCCCTACAATTTTGACAGTTTTAAATGAGTGGTGAATCCAAAATCGCTTGACCAAGAAAAAGAGTGATATTTCTTTATTCACTGTGGCTTTGGCCTCCCCTTTCACCGTCTGCTCACTGTTGGGGAGGTGGAAATGAAAGACCTTTTCCTTCCCCTCTAATCCATCCTCCTTACTGCTGCCTTGGAGATGCCTCCTGTCAGGAGGCAACTGTCAAGGCACACAGCAGTGGAAAAAGGAAGAGAGGGTGGACAGATGTTGACGTCACTATTCCTACTAAGGTGTCCTAACAAAATGGAGAAATGCGCCTCACTTAAATCTCTGGGTAATCAACTCCTTCCCCACTTTTCTGGAAATGCATGTAAACGGCAGTAATCATTACAATTTATGATTGAGAGATTTGGGATAAATTGCTGCCCTTTTTGCTCCTCTTTTTTTAGTCTTGCAGTGTCATGAAGGGAGACTC